AGTCGCATGGCACCATACTGCTCCTTTTAAGAATGGAATTTATTTCTGTCAACTATATTACAGAATTTCTCATCTGATATAATAGTTCTGAGGATAATGTCATCCTGAAGATCCAAAACTTCTATCTCCCCTTCTTCTCGGCTTACTTGAAGAAATTCTGAAATGTATGTTGCTATTACGGTATGTTTATTTGGTTGGTAAAAGGATTTACAAAAAAGGTGATCAGAGGCTCGATTATATTAAATTGTTGAAAGCGCTTTTTAAATTGATCTTGAAGCGTTGATAAGCCAATTTCACTGTCACCTATCATTTTTTCATGTTTGGAAAATGCAGAAGAGACTTCATTTTCAAATGTGATATACACAAAAATAATTTATCTCTGAACAAGTTTATAGCCCCTGTCATTCTTACTATACGTTTGTCCTTTCCCTGCAGCTCCAAGTTTAAATTATTTAGTTTTTCCATCATGTCGGTTAGGAGAGATAAATCTGCGAGGCAAAGAGGATCTCTTAGCTGTAAAAATATTTGATTTTTGGTTGAAATATAATTTTTTATTTCTTCAATTAAATGTAGAAATCTGTCAAGTACTTTGCCTTTAGTGAACCAGCGTACTTCACTATGTATTTGCATAACATTTTAAGGGAAAATGGAATTATTTTATCGTTGGGCACAAGCAGCTGGCACACCTAGATCGATCGACGGGCGCCATGGTATCTGCCTTATTCCCCCCACTATGCAGCTGCATCTTCACAAAGTATTTTATTTAAGGAAAGTACGTTTTTGTGTTTGATTTCGTAAATTAAAATATCGTCTGCACTAAATAATTGAGGTCACCTGTTCTAACCATTAAGAGTAAGTCCTAGAACGTGAAGATCTGATGATTAGATCAAAAGTTATTTCGAGTAGTCTGTTTTTTTGTTGTTTTTTTTTTTCGTTTTTTCTGCGCACTGTGCAACGCCAGAGATTAAATAAAATAAAACTCCGAGTTCTTTAAATGAAACTTTATTTTTAGTTGCATAAATATATGAATTAAATCACATCCTTCAGTACTCTAATTGTTTTTTGTACGTACACATAAAGAAGAGAATTGTACTGATCACATCTGATTGTAGTCTGCTTGTCGTATTATTCCAGTATTGTTGCACGAAACAAAAGGATTCTTAACTGGTGATAAAATGCCAAATATCTGACCAAGAGCATGCGTCTCCTGGTTATCACAAGCATTTTTTCGTTGGGCTTCCAAGCATTCAAAAATTTTGCTGATCAACCTAAGAATAAAAATCAAAGAATACATTAAAAATTACACTATGCAAAAAAATGGTAGAAGTTTTGTTTATTAACGTCATTAATTATCCTGGATTTTTCTTTCTAAGAAAGCTAGCATTATCTAACTATAAATAAAGATGGTGCATTTGGCCGGAAAATAACGTGGTAGTATCTAGTTTTCCCTCATTCGTTTCCATATTGTTTTGGTTGCCATCAACATAAAATTAATAAAAGTTATATAGGTAACGGTTTTCTATCCCTAATTTAAAAGTATTTTCTTGTACTGCTATTATTACGCTTTTGACTTAAGAGTTTAAAACTAAAAGAATTGAGATTAATTTTTTCTCTAGGAGATTAAATTTCCAAGAGATTGATTATTTTATTATTGTTATAACGTAATTCAGCTCTACATTTTAAGATTAAAAAGGAGTCCAATTTTATTAACTATTTTTCAATTATTATTTTTTGTGCAAATAACTTTAATATATCGTTATAAATTACCATTATAGAGATTAGTTTAATGATTTAGAACTTAACTGTTAGCTTCATGCGCAATGTGATGCAAAAATTAGGTTTTAACATATCCGCCCGGATGGTAAGCGAAAATATTAAATTACGATTGTGAACTCTCCAAATTTGTTGGAACAATATAATGTTATAAAAATATAAATGTTATTTTATAAAATGATTACTTAGAAAAAATTCTTCCGTTCACCAATAGAACTAAATATTTATAACACTAATAGAGAATAATATTTGGACTTGAGAAGTGGAAGCACAAACGAAAGCAAACATAATTCTTTTTAGTTCATATAAGTTAGAATAATTTCAACTTCTGTTAAAAAGAAAACTGTTTTCTGCAAAGAAACAACAGTTATTGCGAAGCAGTCATCGGGGTTGGTGAACGGTAGCGAACAGGGGGGCTTTTCCCCTTAGTATATTTATAAAAGTGCTTTATTTTGTATTTTGTGAACACAATTTAAAATAACAACTGAAATACTTTCGACCAATAGAAATTGTGTTTGGTTCACAAAGATATTTACAAACAGCTGGTTTTCTGCTACACTCTATAACAAAAAAATCGACGCACCAAGAACGCACTAGACGAGCAAAATCGACGCTCGATCAGGCTGGAATGATGCCGACTGGGGACGTATAGTCTTTAGCGACGAATCCCGCTTCCAACTGTGTCCTGACGATCAACGAAGACGTGTTTGGAGACGCACAGGGCAGAGGGGGGATCCTGCTTTCACTATTGCACGCCACACCGGCCCTCAACAAGGCATTATCGTCTGGGGTGCCATTTCCTTTGACAGCCGGACCCCATTGGTCGTCATTAGAGGTATTTTTACTGCACAGCGGTACGTCGACGACATCCTAAGACCTGTTTTGATACCGTTCCTTTTTGCAGCGCCCTGGGCTGGTTTTTCAGCATGCCAGACCACATACGGCACGTGTTGCTATGAATTGTCCGCAAGCTTGCAAAACTCTTCCTTGGCCTGCCAGATCACCAGATCTCTCTCCCATCGAGCATGTCTGGGATATGATAGGAAGGCGATTGCATCTGGCACGGAATGTTGATGACCTCGTTCGACAATTGGATCGAATTTGGCAGGAAATACCGCAAGAGACCATCCGGGAGCTTTATCGGTCTATGCCACACCGTGTGGCTGCTTGTATCCAGGCTAGAGGCGGGTCTACACCTTATTGAACTTGTTACTGTAACTCTGCAATGAATAACTCAATTGCTCTGAAATTTTAATCATTTACTATTCTGTACATTGTCTTCCTATCCACCAATTTTCGTTTCAATCAGACAACTCCTTCTTGGTGAGTCGAGTTTTTTGTTATAGAGTGTATTTTCATCCGACTTACATAGAGATTCAACAAAATGCATTCGACTAATATAACTTCCATTGGAAACATGACTTTTTTTTAAAAAAAATTTGAACGAAAGGGCGAGCAAAAAATTGCTTAACCGTTTGGATTTATTGCATCATTAATCAAAAAATATAAAGGAAATCTTGTAGGAAAAATTAAAACCTAAATATCAATCTTCTTAAAACATTTTCTTCAACATTTATGTCATCCAAGAAATTTTACAGCATAACTCTTTAGGGCTGTTCTGTAAACACTCTTTTGTTAAATAAAATTTGCAAATTTCTTTTAACTGATGAGTTCGTTCTAGGCAAAGTTTATTTCGTGCCTTTTAATGGAAATTATTTGCACTTTTTAATTTTGAAAATGGCATAAAATATCAATTTCGGAGAAAAATCACATTTTGTTGAAAAGAAAAGGCGTTTTTGATCCAATTTTCCTTTTTGAAAACTTACTTTACCACTGTATGGTTTGAGGTTATAAAAACATGCGAAAATTAAAAATTATTCATCGCATTCAATGATTTTTTTTATCTTGATGGAAAATTTTCACCAAATTGGCAACTTTAAAAAAAAAAAAAACATATAAATATATTTTTTTCAAATATTGAAAATACTTGTCTGTTCAAGTGTTCAGTCGATCCTTTTCAGTAAAATCGAATGCACAGCTTCGAGTTCACTTAAATTGATTTTTATTTATTTATATTTTTAATTTTCATTGAAGAAAAAAAGCAAAAACATCCTTAAATAATTTCTCCTTATAAGAATTATTTAATAAGAACTCAAAACTGTTCCTCTCACCACTAATTGCTTTTCATTCATCATTGCCACCTTTAAGTCAAAAATTTCTCTAGCAAGGAACATTTTATTAAAAAAATGTATAATTATTGCAGTTTTAAATAAGAACCTTTTTGTCAACAGTTAATCGTAACAAAATGTACCATAATACTCGGATTTGAAAAATAACAATCTGGTTTACGAAAAAAAAACATTTACCTGAGAAACACAAATTGTGTGACTCAATACGAAGAAATAAATTATATGTAATTTTACTAGTTAATGAGACTTATAGGGCCGGGATAGCCTGGTTGGTAGGGCACTGGGCCCATGTCCAAGTGAACGTGAGTTCGATCCCTGCCGGCCGAAGACTCCCCGTGTAGTAAATGGTTACTGATGCACGTTAAATCTGTCGAGTCTTAAAGTCCTTCATGTTCCCATAACAAATCGATACCTCTGGGGGTACTGTATTGGAGATTGATCGTTCTCTGATTCAGGTCAAAATTACGATCTTTGGATGAATGAAGGGATGTATGAATTGGTCCACCCTATAAAACGGGTGTGACGTATGGGTGTGGCAGAAATCGAATTCTTAGCCATAGATGGCGCCACTGGAGAACAAGAACAATCGCACCCCCCTTAATGGCATACGTCAACAACAACATGAGACTTATAATAATTTAAATGGGGAATAGTTTCCATCTATTGGCTCTTTCAGCATCTTAAATTTCAACACTATATAGTAACATCTCAGTGACATTAAGTGCAATTACATGATATTTTTCACTACAAGTTTAGCGGTTAATAAGTCTAAGATTAGATTTTTCTCTGTAATTTTTAAATTTTAAGTCGAATAGTTTTTGTGCAGCTAAACAAAATGCAACTTAAATTTGAACTTCCAAAACAGAGGTGGCAGCAGTATTTAAATTTTTTTTTTTTTTTTAGTATAAAGAGAAAATTTTTTTTTTCTGCTTTTGAAAAATGTATTCCAATACATAAGCTAAATAATGCAGTGAACTGCCTTTAAATAAGAATATTTTTGTTTCAAAGCAAATCTAAGACTTTTAATAATTTTCAATATTCGAGTTCGAGAAGTGTTTTCTTTCTAGAAGATTATTATTTCTATAGCAGCATGCATGAAAATAGAATCTTTTCCAGAACATTTTCTTTTTTCATTTTCTAATTAAAAAAGAGTCATAAATAAAAAAATCCTTAATATTAAACACTCCATAACAGTAAAGAAAAAATAGACCGGGATAGCAAAGCTGTTAAGTACTTTCTTTATACATAGAATATATAGCTTTAAAATAATTCTGTAATATTTAAATTTCAGAAAAAGTCCTAAAGATGCACCTCGTCAAGAGTGTAATTCATTTACATTGTCATTTCACGAACAATTAGCAACCCAACAAAATTTGAAGAAAAAAAATTTATTTAAATCAATTAACAAAATGCGTTTTAATTCTAATATAATCGGAATTTTTTGATAAAATAAAGTGGTCATACGGGCAATGTTATAAGGTAACATAATATCGTAAAAATTATTTATAAGTAGCCATTTATTTATAAACACTTTTGTTCACCCTTCATTTTTCTTATGTCTCCAGTAGTACATTTGTGTAATTGAAGTCGATCAGCAATGGAATACATTTTCTGTACATGGTAGTGAAATTTCACCTAGCAGTACAAAAAATTACAATGGGATATGTGCAAGTGACGTGATGGGACTATCTCGATCCTGATTGGTTGATGAAACGTGGCATTTGCTTACGTTAGCAATTGTTCTTTCCGTTCTATTTCGTGTAAGCCATGCCCGTCAAGTATCAATTCCCTTAAGTGACATAATTTACATTCCTTCACAAGGATTTTTATTCTTTCAAGTTAGATTTCTTACTTAATACAAAAACTGGTCCGAAGCCATGTAGAACATAAAATTATGCATCGAATTTTCGGGGTACACAAAGCAAAAACAAATCACGGTTACAATGAAATACATAAACAAGTAATAAATCTGAGCTAAGCAAAAGACGCAGACCAGAAAGAATTATATTTCAACAAATTCGAGGAGCGATACGGAGCTGTATTTAATCATTTCGCGTTAATTAACATTCTAACTTATGTGGAGAAACTAAGTTCAATTTTACCACTCCATTTTGCTTACAACTATCAGCTGGCGCTGGCTTCATAGGTCACATGTGTGGGCATCAGAGGTCTTCTTCTTCTTCTTGAAGTTCAAGTACCCAAATAAATTGCAATATTAATCTTTCGTTATGGATTAAACATTTATTAAAATTTAAATGAAAGTATTACTCACGAACATCTTATGTCCATACGATGGAACCTGTTAAGTGCTTCCTCTCCAGTATCATGCAATTTGACATCCACGTTTTTATAGCAATTTTGGAACGATTCGAAATCATCTTTAACACATTGATAGCCGCAGTGAGCTAAAATTCATTAAAAACTCATTCATTAATACATTTATAACAAGAAAAAACTATTAAAAAGTAAATAGAACGTTCACATAAAAAAGTCGTAAATAAAAGATTTTCAATTTTTACTTATAAAAGTAGTACATATTAAGGGTCCACGTGAACCCTGTAAATTACCCAAATATCAAAAGTATGCGCCAATTTTCAAAAGTCTTCGCCAAATGCAAATCTTAAAAATTTTTTATGATTTTTTACCATAGAAAACTATTTTACGGTAGTTTGTTTCAGGCATATATTATTTGGATCCCATTCTAATTGGTGATGCGGCACATCTACCGAAAATTAATGTAATAGAATAAAAAATACTGATTTGTTTAAAAAAATTCATTTGGAGGTAATTTTAATTTATTTCCAGAGAAAAAATCATTTTCCAATACTTTCGCCAAATTTACGATTTTATCGCATTTGGCGAAATGGTGAATGCTTAGAGCTGGCCCTGCATATTAGACCAGCTAATATAGCAAAAAAAAAGTTTATTTCTTCAGAATAATTAACTAACCCCCCCCCCAACAGAAGGCTCTAGCTTTTCTAAATAATATCTAAAAACTCCTTACTTTTCTCTGTACGAATGTTTTTTTCGGGGGAGGGGGGAATTAAGCTGATTTGGGGGAGAATTGAATTTCAGTCCTTGCGACCAATTTTAGCAATGTAATCTCTTCCGTTGAATCTAATGAGACCAAATTACAAGGTATAGGATAATAGTTTGAAATTTTTTGTTGACTTTATTTATCAAAAGTGATGTGTTTGACCAAAGCATTATTTACCCTTTTGATACTGCTATATCGCGGCTATCTATACAGACGTTGACAGTTGTGTATATTTCATTACTGAATCGAATGAATGAAATCCGAGTAAAAAAAGAAAAAGAATTTTAAAGAAAAGTTTAAATGTTCAAGTCAGAAATAATGCTCTTCATACGTAACAGCTGATGCAACATCTAAACTGTTGGCTAAAAAGAGCATAAGAAACAATACCTCACTTGTCTAGTTAGCAATGTCAGATGTTTAAATAAGTAGAAGCCAAACATTGTACCCTTTGTACGTAGAAACATTATAACTTTTAGCCATTAGTCCTATTGACTCAAACTTTTGCCTTATTCAATTCTGAGTAAATAGTTTTAATCGGAAACGATGGAGTTCACGGATTTGAACACCATTTCTTCACCTCAAAAAAGAAGATATAAATGATGCCTGAAAATACAGCAGAGAGCATATGGTTATTTTCAGGCAACATTTACGAGAACATAACAAAGCTTTCTAACCTTGTAGGTAGGTTATTGACTTCCGGAAAGAAAGCATCCTTTTACTGGAAAATATCGAGAAGGGTAGCGAAAAGAGAATATATGCACTACCCTACAATAATGGAAAAAGACACTTTCAGTTTTTAATTTTTCAAAATTTCTCACGAAATACTTAGAGGACTAATTTCTAACTTTAGAAATGTTTATTTCGTGCAATTTTTCATACTTTGCAATAAAGTTTAAAGCGTTCAACGGTTTCGGGGACCGACAATAAATTACGAAAGAAAACAAGTATTTTTGTACACCCTTTGCCAGAAAATCAAGCAATAAACTTGTAATTTGATATAACTGCATACAATTTCTTAAACTTAACTTAAAAAATTATGGAAATATGAATTACTATTTTGTCGTAATTTTTTCTTTTCCTTCAATATAACTTTTAAAGTCTTTGTCACTTCTATTATTGTAGGGTAGTGTAAATCTATAACACCACAGATGTATAACAGGATTTCTCAATCAAAATGCTTTTATATGTTTGAAATTTATAGTTGTAAATGTTGCTATTGATAAGTACTCGTAAAAAAATTGTGAAGAATAAAATAATTATTGCTTGATGTCTCTGAATTAAAAAATTTTTTTACATAATATTATTTAAGATTTAATTAGCTTCTAAAAATATTTGTAAATATTCAGTTAATAGTTTAACTTCACGTTTCACAGAGTTCAGAAGCCAGATTTGGTGGTGAGATTTAGCCGAAAATTATGTATAAAATAATTGATCCCAATTAGTGCTCCCTTTACTTGTTGGTGTTTATATACTCTCCTTCGGGATAGTTCTAAAACTATATCATAATTTCAGGCTTCGTCCTGCCTTATTCAATAATGATTCATCAGATTTAGAACTTAACTAGAACTTACATCACAAAGTGAACTAATTTTCCCAAATAGTGATAAACTTTATTAGCATAAATTAATAATTTTTTAATCAGGTATCAGAGTTTTACCAATAATTATTGGCGGAGTTCTATATTTGTTGTGTCTCCAGAAACTATTTTAATATTTATTTGCTCATTAACTTTTAATGCGAAAAAATTTAGTTTTTTGACAATATAATTTCTTTCAAATAAAATTTGCCATAGGTATTCAATTTTTGAAGGGGACGAAATTAAAATACATGGTTACAATTCTTCTCAAAAGCTCACACACACACACACACAAAAATAATTCATCTTTTTTTAATATCTCCAAAATAAGTTTTTTTTAATTTATTTGCTTCTAACATAGTTATAGTGAAATCGATAATGATTCACGAAAAACTATTTTTTAGTTTGTCTGACATATTAGGGGGGGGGGGTACTTATTGAAATTTTTAACTGTTGAGGGAGACACATACCCACCTTACCCAGACAACGCCAAATTTTCTTATAGTTGGATGCGACTTAACTTAATTTTATGCTAGCGCAATTTACATGTTCTAGAAACTACCTATCCAACATTGCTGCCCTATATTTCAATCTGAAAAGAAAAAAAAATCTCTTTTTTTTTAAATGTAACTTGGGAAAAAATATCTTAATTAATATCAATCCTTTTGTTTTGGACTATGCAATAAGAAATACAGTCAGACAGAATGAAGAATTTTAGTTTCCTTACCAATCGCTGAAATTCCAAGAAAAATAAAGCACTGGACAATAATTTTTCCACACATTTTGAAACAAACTAGATGGACGTGTAACTACAATCAATGTTTACTTCTTATTTTAGAATTTTATGGTCTTATGATCACACCTTTGAAACAGAAAAATGGCACGTCTGTATAAACAAAAAAACACTACACTTGGTTTTATTAGGCTCATTGAGTGTCAAAATCAATTAAGGTATGAGGGAATTTGAAAATAATAAAAATAAAATATCATGATGACGATAATAATAACAATGATACAGTAAAATTATAGTCACCAATAGTTCAAACTTTTAAAAAATAAAAGAAGAAAAAAATGAAATTCCTTTATCAGTTTAATTTTTCTTTTAACAATTCCAGAATAAACTTTTTCTTATCCATGGATAGCAAAAAGACTTTTTTTTTTCGGTTATTAGCCACAATATCAGCTCAATTCCCCCGTCAGATTTTAATATAATAAATAAATTCAACATACTGGAATAACTCAATAACAAATTTTTAGTTCAGAGTAACTTATGAGTTCTGGAATAGGGGGTTCTCTACACAAGTCTTTTCAATTGACCAAGTATAAAAGTTTTACTCGAAATTTTAACATTAGGTTATGCCTGTAGTATGCAGTATTTTTTCACTATTATTTTTGGTTACATTCTTCAATATTTTCACTGGAAGCGCATAAAAATTTTCATGCAATTCAAAAGAAAAGAAGAATACAATCGCACTCGCCTGATATCATCAATTGAAAAGAGTAAAAAGTAGAAAAAATACAATTGAAAAAATTTCTACAAAAATACACATGGTTCAAAAATATGCATAATAACTAAGGCTGCTTATATTTGAGAAAGCACAGGATATGAGAAGAAAAAATTGAGTAAAATATTTCACTATTTTTATAACTTAGTTTAAAATTCTGAAGAAAAAAAATTCTCACAAAGAAGTTTTTCAAAATGCTTACAGTGTTGAAAAAAAATTAATTCCTGGTGATAAAATAGTTCAAGAAAACTTCCAGGATATTTTACTATCCTCTGCAAAACATAAACCACTCACTTTAATAAATATAAAAACACTAGTTGAAATCGACATAAAACATCAAATGATTCGCATTTTTCAAATCTAGACCTTATATACATTACCTCAAAAAACTTTTATAATTAAGACCTACAATTCAATTTTATGCAAGAAAATAATAAAACTTGGTTACAAAGCTGAGTCTGTAAACTATTTAAAAACTTAAAATAAGAAGAAAAAAAATTGTTTAATAGTTCGTTTGTTTTTTTAAAAATTATTATAGGATATTTTCAATTGGAAGATAGAAAAAAAAAATACAAAATCTAAAATTTCTTAATAGATTTTGATTGGTTGCATTTTAGAAAATTCTTTATCGTACGAGTGCTTAAGGAAGGGAATTTATTCCATTTGGAAACCATTAGTAACTCATTCAAAGAATTTTCAATCAAAGGTTATTGGGAGATTGAAAACGCTTCTCTAAAAAACTGAAATATGAATAAAAAATAAACCTGAACTGTAAATGCATCAGCCAATTTAACAAGAAAAAAAGCAATTAAGAAACCAATTTAAAAAGAAAAAAATATTGGATCTTTTTTTTCTGTTAGATGAATATAATTTAATTATTACATTTATTGTATATTTGTTGTTTTCCTTCAATGTCGACCATCACAATTTTATTAAGTTTAAACAAATTTTAGAGCAATGCCTTATTTTTTATTATGTATTCATCTACCCATCATATTGATTTAGTTAAAATGGTATACATATTAATTTTCTCAGCATATCCATCTCAAAATGCAGATATCTTTTTAAAAAATCTTTCCTAAGCGAGCAATTTTTCAGTTGAGAGGGTGTTCGCTTTACCAAGATCTCTCTATATATTTAATCCTAGATTCAAATGCATTTGTTACACAGAATGCACAAAATATGTTTATAAATCTCAGATTAATAATAAAATATTTTGAAGAAAAATAATAAAGAATGCTTTTTTAAAAAAAATGTTTGTTAATAAAATTTTATAAAAAATTATTTTTTTTTCTAAATTTATTTAAAAAAATATTACTGATGTTTCTAGTCTCTCTCTCCTGCAAAACCTAAGTCATTTGACAGACTTAGCCATATTTCATAGAAATACAATAGAAAGGAGAAAAAAATTTATATTCTTTACAAAATGCGAAAATATATCAGCTAAAAACTACTATTAAAAATGAGTCTTGCCAGTTTTATTGAATTCTAATATGAATAGGTAATATTTAGATATTAAATAATTTAACAAACCACAATAATTTTTTTCTTAATTTTTATAAAAATTTTTTTTCCTTCTCTTTTTCTTTGTACAGGAGGTTGTACTTTATCTCAGCTAACATGGTTCAATATAAAGTAGAAAAATCGGAAATACTACACACTATGAACACAAATTAAGAAAAAAAATTTATTACACATCATTAATTTTTGAAAGTAACAATAATAAACTATTTTATAATCAATATCAAAGTAACTAAATGCAAAAAATTTCAATATAATTAAAAATTGTCAACATAATCCATAAAAATTTAAACACCATCAGTTTTTATAGAGAGCAGAAACAAATCACTATCTTTTTTATGTCTTTCAAATACATGATCCAAAACAAAAATATAGTAAAAATAAAAAATATATATAGAATTTTTTTAAATAAATTATCAGCAAAACAAATTAGACTTTACATTTGCTATAAATTGACACTTGTTGACAGACAAGACAAGATTGCTGGAATTAAGAAATGCACACTTCTAGAAAAACTCATTTTTATTTTATTTTTACAATATCTACAAAGTCAAAATATATGGAATTAAACAAATTTAAATTGATATATTTTTAATATACATAATTTTCTTCTTTTCTTCATAATAACATGAAACTTCCAAGTATTGAGCATCTAACCAGGCGAGTTTATATTCAATTTTCTCTAATAAGCATAAAGTAGAACAACTACCTAAACTACACTATTTCTAAATTGTACTAAACTACATAGGGAAATAACTGATTTTCATAGATATACATTATATATAAAGTTTAAGAATTTATCCTATATTTGATTTAGTTGATTTAAATCTTGTAATGTGTTGTTTGATACTTTCAACAGCTGAATTTTCAAGAAATATCAAATTAAAAAAGTAATAAAAAAAGGTTCACAATTGTTTGAAATGTGCTAAAAATTCACATCTTTCAAATAGAATTTAAGGATAAGTGAAGAGAAAGAAAAAAAACCTTAATGTTTCCTTTAGAATAAAAAAAATAAAATATTAAATACATTTATAAACATATGAATATTGATTTGAATCCTCTTGTGCAACTAATCAATAAAATAAAATTATTTACACTCGTTCAATGATTATTCTCCCAATAAAAAGCTATCATTTACATGTTAAATATAGTCATCCTTATTGAAAGACATAAACATGAAATCAACATAATCATGACAAAAAATAGGAAATCAACATAGGAAAATTCATTAATTTAACTGCAAATTTAAAATTAAAAACAAATTAACAATATAGAAAGCTGAAATAATGATGAAAAATATCATTTATTGTTATTGGAATGAAAAATAATAATGAATAATATAAAGGAAAAATAGTATTTTTTTTAAATATTATAGCAAATAACGAAATCTTGAACATCAATAAAAAATCATTAAATATGAAAAACTGCAACAAATGTGTATCTTACTAAGTATTGAATTTTCGATAAATATAAATTGTGTCTTACAAATTATTGAGACCTGGAGAAAAAACCGCATAAATTTCAACTGTTCACAAAATCACTGAATTTCTATTTTTTTTGGAAAATATTATTATTTACCAGATAAAATTATTTCTACAGTTCCCAAGCAACTTAACCTTCTTTTAATTCTAAGAACATTTTTGGAAACCTTCTTGACCTAGGTAAGGTTGTTAAAATCTTATTGGAATATTAGAAAAATTTTAGTTAATAAAGAAGAAGAAAAATTTATTTTTCCAAATTAAATTTTTTTTTTTTAAAGTTGTTTTCCAGGTCACCCACACAATTTTCAAAAATTATAGCATGTTTGTCACATAATTTTCAATTCTTCTGGTCCTAAAAATGAATATTATAAAAACTACAAAACGCAATAAAATTATCTTATACTGTAATAAAATTTTTAATTAATAATAATATTTTGTTACATTGATTTAAAGAAATATATATAGAAATATTGGAGAAAAATTTTTCACTTTTAATTGAAGCTTGATAAACAAATGGCACACTACAATCAACAAAGAAATGTAAGGTATAGCAATTGGTTTAAAATAAGCTTTTAAAAAAATTCATTTTGCATCAAGGATGCACCACCATTCTGTAGGTGGATAGTGGGCCACAAAAACTAAAAAATACAATTTTGATATGCAATATAACATAAAGGTGCAACAAGAAAAAAAATGCTTTAAGAATTTGAATGCAAACAAATGAATTACAAATGTAAACCTGGTGTGTTTACACTTGGCTGCAGATCATGAAATGTGCCTAAATATTAAATGTAAATAAATTGAAACAAAAATAGAAATACAATTACAAAACAAATAAGATAATTTATTAAATTAATTAGACAGGGTGCGTAGCCAAATCTTTGAATCAAAAATAAGCACTTTTTAAAAACTTTTTAAGCACTTTACAAAAATTTTCAAGCACTCAAAAAATTCATATTCAATCAATGATATTATTGAAAAACAAAAACTTTTTATAAACAGTTTTAGTGTTAAAAAAACCCAAAAAGAAAACCCCGTAAATCGAAACAATCAGTTCTTTCCCACATCACCGAGTGAATGCAACTTGACCCTGAACTCAGAACAAAAGTACCCTTACCCCCTAAGTCAAAAAAAGTGCTAGAAGTAAAATAAAATAAACAAGAATAAAATTAAAATAAATTAAAAAAGAAAAACTTTTCATAAGGATCTGATATTCTATATCTGAACTGGAGCACTCGGGTTTCGGTTTCAAGTGTGTGCGCATGCGCAAGTCATAACGTGGGTACGACATGAAGTCCACGTAAATGATAACGTAGCAAACTCCCCATTTTTCGTTAAATGCATGGGATCCACCAGATATCACTGAAGGGAAGGAAAAAAATTATTCGGAAAAAAGCACCTTTTAAAAACGCCAGCTGAAAAAAGCACCTTTAAAAGCTTTTAAAAACAGAATCCCCAAAAAAGCACCTTTAAGTACTTTTTACAAACGCTACGCACCCTGTAAAAGCNTTCCTAAGCGAGCAATTTTTCAGTTGAGAGGGTGTTCGCTTTACCAAGATCTCTCTATATATTTAATCCTAGATTCAAATGCATTTGTTACACAGAATGCACAAAATATGTTTATAAATCTCAGATTAATAATAAAATATTTTGAAGAAAAATAATAAAGAATGCTTTTTTAAAAAAAATGTTTGTTAATAAAATTTTATAAAAAATTATTTTTTTTTCTAAATTTATTTAAAAAAATATTACTGATGTTTCTAGTCTCTCTCTCCTGCAAAACCTAAGTCATTTGACAGACTTAGCCATATTTCATAGAAATACAATAGAAAGGAGAAAAAAATTTATATTCTTTACAAAATGCGAAAATATATCAGCTAAAAACTACTATTAAAAATGAGTCTTGCCAGTTTTATTGAATTCTAATATGAATAGGTAATATTTAGATATTAAATAATTTAACAAACCACAATAATTTTTTTCTTAATTTTTATAAAAATTTTTTTTCCTTCTCTTTTTCTTTGTACAGGAGGTTGTACTTTATCTCAGCTAACATGGTTCAATATAAAGTAGAAAAATCGGAAATACTACACACTATGAACACAAATTAAGAAAAAAAATTTATTACACATCATTAATTTTTGAAAGTAACAATAATAAACTATTTTATAATCAATATCAAAGTAACTAAATGCAAAAAATTTCAATATAATTAAAAATTGTCAACATAATCCATAAAAATTTAAACACCATCAGTTTTTATAGAGAGCAGAAACAAATCACTATCTTTTTTATGTCTTTCAAATACATGATCCAAAACAAAAATATAGTAAAAATAAAAAATATATATAGAATTTTTTTAAATAAATTATCAGCAAAACAAATTAGACTTTATTTGATATAAATTGACACTTGTTGACAAATAAGACAAGATTGCTGGGATTAAGAAATGCACACTTCTAGAAAAACTCATTTTTATTTTATTTTTACAATATCTACAAAGTCAAAATATATGGAATTAAACAAATTTAAATTGATATATTTTTAATATACATAATTTTCTTCTTTTCTTCATAATAACATGAAACTTCCAAGTATTGAGCATCTAACCAGGCGAGTTTATATTCAATTTTCTCTAATAAGCATAAAGTAGAACAACTACCTAAACTACACTATTTCTAAATTGTACTAAACTACATAGGGAAATAACTGATTTTTATAGATATACATTATATATAAAGTTTGTTAAGATTTTATCCTATATTTGATTTAGTTGACTTAAATCTTGTAATGTGTTGTTTAATAATTTCAACAGCTGAATTTTTAAGAAATATCAAATTAAAAAAGTAACAAAAAAAGGTTCACAATTGTTTGAAATGAGTTAAAAATTCACATCTTTCAAATAGAGTTTAAGGATAAGTGAAGAGAAAAAAAAATACCATAATGTTTCCTTTAGAATAAAAAATAAATAAATACATTTATAAACATAATAATATTGATTTGAATCCCTTTATGCAGCTAATCAATAAAATAAAATTATTTACATTCGTTCAATGATTATTCTCCCAATGAGAAGCTATCATTCACACTGTGTAAAATATAGTCATCTTTATTGAAAGACAGAAACATGAAATCAACAAAATCATGACAAAAAATAGGAAATCAACATAGGAATACTTAATTTCAAATTCATTAATTTAACGGCAAATTAAAAAAAAATTAACAATATAGAAAGTTGAAATAATGATGAAAAATATCATTTATTGTTATTAGAATGAAAAATAATAATGAATAATATAAAGGAAAAATATTATTTTTAAAATGTTATAGCAAATAACTAAATCTTGAACATCAATAAAAAAATCATTAAATATGAAAAACTGCAACAAATGTATATCATACTAAGTATTGAATTTTCAATAAATATAAATTGTGTCATACAAATTATTGATAGCTGGAGAAAACCGCATAAATTTCAACCGTTCAAAAAATTTTTCTTTTTTTGGAAATTATTTCTACAGTTACTTAATTATTTCTACAATTCCCAAGCAACTTAATCTTCTATTAATTCTAAGAATCCTTTTGGAAACCTTTTTGACCTAGATAAGGTTGTTAAAATCTTATTGGAATATTTGAAAAATTTTAGTTAATAAAAAAGAAAATTCATTTTTCCAAATAAATTTTTTTTTAAAGTTGTTTTTTAGGTCACCCACACAGTTTTAAAAAATTATAGCATGTTTGTCACATAATTTTTAATTACTTTGGTCCTAAAAATAAATATTATAAAAACTACAAAATGTAATAAAATTATCTTATACTGTAATCCAATTTTTAATAATTTTAATTAATAATATTTTGTAACATTGATTTAAAGAAAAGAAAAAAATTTATGTCGGAGAAAAATTGTTCATTTTTAATTGAAGCTTGATAAAAACAAATGGCACATTACAATCAACAAAGAAATGTAATGTATAGCAATTGGTTTAAAATAAGCTTTTAAAAAAATTCACTTTGCATCAAGGATGTGTCCCCATTTTGCAGGTGGATAGTGGGCCACAAAAACTAAAAATTATAATTTTGATATGCAATGCAAGATAAAGTTGCAACAAGCATAAAAATGTTTTAAGAATCTGAATGCAAACAAATGAATTACAAATGTAAACATGATGTGCTTATACTTGGCAGCAGATCATGAAATACATCTAAATATTCAATGTAAATAAATTGAAACAAAAATAGAAATACAATTACAAAACATACAAGGTAATTTATTTAATTAATTAGAAAATTAGATCCCCAAACTTTTAGATACATAAAACTGAAAACTTTCATTTACCTTAAACTGTTAACTACAGAATTATTTAGGTAAATACAAATTTATAACTGAAGCTATAAATACAGTATCAAATAAATGAGAGGTTATCATTGGAATTTTGAAATTATTTTTCATTCACTTTATTAAATTTTTGACATTTTCATTTCAATATATTTGTATTAATGCATAACAAATTAAAATTTATCACAAACACTAAATCCTCTATCTTAAACAAATACTTAACCACATCACTAATTTACAGCAACAAAACAGCGACCAAAAAAAGATTTTTCTGCTACTTTGTATTTTTCTCTCCATGTTTTCATTAATATTTCAATGGCTAAGTCAAAAGGTTTTCAGCTAGAAGGTCGTAGGTTGGACATCACTGGTTCTCATCAAAAGTCTTACAAAGCCATATGCTAATTATCTCACCAGAAGTTTTAGAATTCAAAATCACATAAAACTTACTAATTTTTTTATGAATCTGATGACATTTTGATACTTTCTAATTAGCCCACAGCTAGAAAATTGACCCGGTAATTTTACTGAAGAGGAAGAAACTTCTAAAGAGTAAGCAAGGTTCGAAATCAGCGTACGTCATTAATCCTGAACCATGAAAATTTGTCTCAGTAAATAACTAATAGTGATGTCCTAAACCAGAAATTGATTTTCAGAAATAGTATGCTATTTTAATTTAAAATAATCTGTCTCTAAATTTAGTTTGCTCCAAGCTTCAACTAAGTATTAATCCTTAACTCAAACAAGAATTACATAATTTAACGATTCTCAATACATTTTAAAATTTAGTTTCCTTAAGACAGTAAAACATTGAATGCCTAAAAACCCAATTTTGCATTTCATTACTAATTAGTATTATTTATTTAGTTTTTTGGTGTACAAATAAAATACAAATAATGATTAAAAAAGTTGTGTACTGTAACATACATATAATAAGCAATGCATAACATTTATAAAATACAAAGTAAAATCTTTTTCAAAAGATTTAAGTTATGATTAAAATAAGAAATTAGCACAGTAAGATATTTTGTTGAAATGTCTGTATACTAGATATGTACAAATGTTCATTTATACGATCTTTCACATAGTTTAGTTTCATTCTAAATTATGAAAGCAAAGAATACATTTTCATCACTAAACTCACAATTTTAAAGAAAATATTTATTGAATAAAAAAATTAAGCATATAAAACAGTTGTTAGATTGACATTATATGCTCAGAACATTGTATTCAGATGAGTTAAAATGGTACTTTTCTATTTCGCCGAACGCAGGGGATCATATCGCAAACTTACTGAGTGGAAGTAAATTCACCTGATTTTTTATTTTAAATTTTTAAGTGTTTTTTTTTAAATATAAAAAAATATAGATAAAATAGTTGGCATTACTTGCGTAGGCAAAAAGAAAAAGTACCACTAAAACTTTGAATTACAGTTGAACAAATTTGAAATTACTATAATTCAGAAACTTAGTCATAATATATGCAAGAATAATTGGTACCTTTTCTTTAGACACAAGCGATAAAATGTTAAAAATGGCATAGGCTTCCACCAACTCATTTATTTTTATACACTAGACAAAATGAATGCTCACAAAATTATGCAAAATAAATTTTTAAAAAAAAAAATGTAGTTGGATGTCCTTGCTCCCGGCTAATCGTTAAGTACCGAATATAATCTAAAAAGATAGCAATCAGGTACAATTAAAACTATTTGTGAAAATATTACTACGCACATCTGCTGTTTACATTTAGGAAAATAGTATACATATCTTTCTCTAGAATAATTCAAACAAAACATGACAAATGTGCCATTAAGAGCAGCATTCAAATAAACTCTACATAAGCTACAAAATAAAATGAGTCTCAATGCAAATCTTGACTTAAATTGGCTTATACAACAAAGTAGTAACATATTTCTTCTTGTAACGATGTGTTGCACTCAAAACAACAACACCATCTTTTATAGAAAGTGCATAGAGGTGATTCAGCATCACATGGTTAGGTTCTGGCAAAAGATTTGGTTCGCAAGCCATCATAACATCCTTGTTTAATATCACTTGCAACAAGTGCGGGGGTAAGACAGGTGGTCGAACCGTCTTTTCATTTGGCTTAGGCTGAGGGATCTCCTGAGAATAAGATCCCGGTGGAGATCCTGTATAGGTAGATCCAATACTGTCTGCCGCGAGAGCTTCAAATACCAAGAAATCAGACTTTTTAACAGATATGGTGTTATTTTTCGATCCAACATCATTATCTACAGTAGGTTCACTTGGATTATGCTGCCATTGGCCATCCACTTTGAACTTGTATTGATGATCTCCTTCGGGTATTTCTAATATTAGGGCAAAATCTCCCTGACTTTGAACCATAGGTATGGGTTTCCAATCAGAGAATGAACCACTGATCATCACATCTTTACCACCACCAGCCCATTTGAAAACAGTTGGTAAAAGTTTTTCACCAGGCCTATTCATTTCATCTGATTTATCTCTGGATAAATTAGAAAAATCATCATAATCATCCAGTGACGATTGGTATCCGAACTTTTCCTTCCTGTTTCCAGCACTAAATTCGAACACCTTACCTTCCTTGCAAGAGGGGGGTGGTCCTTCATTGTCTGATGAATAAGCTCTGTCACGTTTCGTAGAGCTTGTTGTACCCATTTTCGAATTTTACGAGTACGAAACAAATGAACCAGGTATTGAAAAATAACGTTTAATTTTTATCATAAATTTGTAGCTGAATGACCTTTTATTATAGATAGCTTTATTAAACTTCTGTTTGATTTCAGTTAAAAGTATCTGAAAGTAAGGCTCAAATGTGGGAATAATATTTATATTTTCACTTCGACGTACAAGCTTCCAAAATCACAACAAACAATTCAGCCATAAAAGCAGCATGTTGCCAGATTTAAAACATAAGAATATTTCAATGCATTTCAAGTATTAAAAAAATTATATTGTCATAATTTGTAGTGACTTAATAAGAAAAAATCTTTTCTTCCCTTTTTTTATAAATATCTTTTTTGATTAAAAAGATTCATTTTTTGTTTTTAAAAAATCATTGTTTTTTAGATGGCATCATAATAAATATCATGATCATGTAAGGAAAAACAAAACAAATCAGGGAAACCGCGGAATTTGTGATGGAAATGTACTCTTAAGTACAAAAAGTCTCGTAATTTAGAGTCATAATTCTCCTATTATTTTAATATTTGTATTATACTATATTTAAAATTGTAACCTTTTAGAAACTCTTGTGAGATTTAAAAAACTTTTCTTATCTAAGGGTTAATTGCAGACGAGAGTTGTTAAGGGTTTGTTCAATAAATAATGTTAAACAATAAATTCTTTTAAACATCTTCGTTTTTTAACATTTGGAGATGTATTGTGTGAAAGGAGCTTTTAATGTACTTTCGAAACGGCCGGTAGCTACTATAAATAAAATTTCTCTTTTGAACAACAATGCTATCAAAACATCACATTATAATGTACTATTTTCGTCGTTTAATCACAATAAATTATGCAACTTAAAGTATGACCTGAAAAATTTCTCGCAAATTGAGTTTCATTCAAGAAATAGAAATTTTAAAAGTTCTTTTTCCAGAATAGTTTTATATCGTTCTTTTAAAACATCTGAACCTAGAAAAATCCATCCAATATTTTGGTTTGTCTTCAAGCCATTTCTTAAGTTGACTGCTATTCTTACTGGAAGGTTTGTTAATTTGTATACTTACCTTTTATTTGTTGAATATTAAATAATAAATATGAGGATATTTCCGTATCGTGATCTGTTGAGCCAGCTACAATCGCCAAGGTGCCAAATAGATTTTAAACTTGCAATTTTTTTTAAAGAAAACATGCAAATGTTTGCCCAGGGGTGGCTACGAGTTATACATTTTGAATTGGTATCCTTCCGTGTTTTTTTTTTTAATTTCTCGCTGGCCGATGCCCGGAAGTTGGCAAGACTTGGCGTTTATTCTGCCACAGATCAGGGTGTGGAAATCTCCCCATAAATATTTTATTAAGTCTTTAAATGAAAAATAAACCTGGAGATATTTCATTATTGGATCTTAATATCACCAACTGTAAGGTAATAATCGTAGTGCTTGAAGAGGAAAGATTTCTCTATTGTTATCTACTCAAAAATGATCGCCAGGTCCTGTGAGAAACTGGCTGTGTCAGTGGCTGTGAGAAACTGAAAAAAGCACATATAGGGGACCAACTCAAAAGGTATAACTTGAAGCTCTATGATTTTTTACTTTATTTTTTAAAAATTTACGAGATAAAAGTAGATTTGGTGACTGTAATCGTTGCTAGAGATCAAGATACAGAAATATCCCCTTCAAGTACAACATCTGGGAAGATCACTAAGCTTCAGGCCTGGAACCTCCTTGTTGTTTCTCCTTTTCTGAGATGTATTGGAATGTGTTAGATGCAATATTTACCCTCTCAATTTCACATTTAGATTGTCAAAAATAGTTTTTAGAATTTTCATACTGTTTGCTATTAGACCTATGTTTAATACAGTTCTATACTTTTTCTTAACGTAAAACTTTTTAATCAGTTTTAAAGTACAAACAGAATCTTAGAAAATCTTATGATAATCAACGTGCTAATGATGAAAGCATAAAGCGTAGCCATAGGTAAGAGTTCTGCTATCCAACACCTGCAGCCCATTTCAATCACTAATATTGAAGTGTTGCGTCTTGTTATTAGTAATTGCGATAATATATTTACATAATAATAGCTTTTTCGTAGGTGAATTTTACCTTTCAAGTTTACTCCATTTTGAGTTGTTCTTTTCCCCACCCTAGTAATTCACTTGCTATTTATTGTTTGTCACCGAAACTTGATTACCATTTTGGGGTAGGATGATAAATAGGAACTGAGGATGCAGAATATATCTGATCATAGGGACAAGACACAGGGATATTCAAGCAGCCTAGTAGAAATATTTTGTTTAAGTTGGGGGGAAAATGCTACTAAGTTTTTCATTACATATATATTCATAAAAAAAAAACACATTTAAAAAATTAATTCTCTTTAAAAAGAATAGAATGGAAAATTCCAGAAAAAGTTCTTACAGGAAAGAGAATTGCCTTGATGGATAATATTAAAAGAATATTTTCTATTATGTTAAAAGATAAGGATTTTTTTCTGTTATGTTAAATATAATAAAAATAACTATAGGTCAATTTTATTATTTAATAGTTTGAATTCTTTAAATTCACAAGTGGGACCATAAATTTAACTTTATAAATTATTGCTATTATTTTGATATATTTCGATTTCTATTATTTTTTTGACACATTTGCTAGTTCATTCAAAAATCGAGGAAAATCAAATGAATTTTTTTCATTGTTAGCGAAAAAATTACTAAAAAAAAATTAAACAATATACAAACTTTATACATTTTAAAATTATTTTGAAAAGTTGTTATAACTATAAAAAAAATAAGTACTGTAATTTTGAAGAAAATATCAAACCGAAAAACTGCATCCTGTTAAAATATTTAGCTCTGAAAAGTTTCTGCTCCCCTGTGGAAGTCGTATGAGCTTTATAGTCATACAATAACTTAAACTTTAAAACAATAACTGTAACTACAGTGCAGAACCTCTTATCCGGAAATCAGAAAACCGGAAAACCAGATAACCGGAATGAAATTTAGAACCGGAAATTAATTTTCTTCCATTAAAAAAATTTTTTTTCTTGCAAGATTTTGAGCCCATTTTGTTATTTAGAGCGTACGGCGTATCGAGTTGACGAAAGAACTGATTTAGAGGACGGATCAAAAGCCGTTTGTAGACGAATCTCACATAAGCACAAATAGCTTANGGATTTTTCTGTTATGTTAAATATAATAAAAATAACTATAGGCCAATTTTATTATTTAATAGTTTGAATTCTTTAAATTCACGAGTGGGACCATAAATTTAACTTTATAAATTATTGCTATTATTTCAATATATTTTGATTTCTATTATTTTTTTAACACATTTGCTAGTTGATTCAAAAATCGAAGAAAATCAAATGAATTTTTTTCATTGTTAAAGAAAAAATTACTAATAAAAAATTAAAACAATATACAAACTTTATACATTCTAAAATTATTTTTGAAAAGTTGTTTTAACTAAAAAAAAAATAAAATAAGTACTGTAATTTTGAAGAAAATATCAAACCAAAAAACTGCATCCTGTTAAAATATTTAGCTCTGAAAAGTTTCTGTTCCCCTGTGGAAGTCGTATGAGCTTTATAGTCATACAATAATTTAAACTTTAAAACAATAACTGTAACTATAATGTAACTTAATTAGCAATGTTGCTTCAATTCTATAAACAACTTTCCTTAGAGCTGAGGCAGAAATACTCGAAATAAGGGTGATCCTCGTTTGATCAATATACACAGTGTTGGTTAATTCTAGTAAACCCATTTTGGGTAATAAGCATTGAAATAAAATTAGTGAGATTATTGATTTTCTTTCTAAACTAGAAGTTGAGTTAGTTATAAATTTTTTTACTGCCTATTTTGATGACATGTAATTTTTTTCAGAGGTTTTAGAAAATGGTGGCGAGATCTGCCTAAAGACAAAAAGAGACATTTTATCAATGTAATGATTATCAATAAGAAGAAAATTGCTGGTATGCTTCTATTGTAAACTGATAAATATGTTATCTATTCCATTATGAGTAGTATTAAAACTTATTTTCTCTTTCAGCCTCAGTGTTAGTTTTTGTTTTACTATCATTGGGATTTTATATCAGCCATATTGAAGAAACTCCTATTACTAAACGAAAACGTTTCATGGCATTTAGTACAAAGCAATTAGCAGAAATAAATGCCTTTGAATTAAAACAGGTACTTATTTTTATTTCTATAATTTTCAAATTTCTTGTATCATTTTTGAAATTTTTATGACAGATGCATATTCTATGAAAAGGTAAAATTTAAACAAATGACAATTTTGAGATATTTTATGTACAATTTTTATAACTGTTCTGGCTTGAAAAGTATTGAAATTTATATATGCCCTTCCAGGTATGTTACAAAATACTATAATGTGAATGAAACTTTTAGGTACCTAAACATATGTTTTTCAATTACATATTTATGAAAACATATAAATATATCTATTCGTAATTTGGACAAAAATGATAATATGTATATTAAAGCTTATAAGTATAAATATGAGGTATTAAATTTTAACAACGATGTTTTAAGCACAAATAATCATTGATAACTTTGTTTTGCTTTGATCATTAATTGTTTAGTTTGAATAAGCATTGATAGAGTGCATTGTCATTAACAAAAAAGAACTGTTATTATCTGAAGCAAGTGCATGCTTTTTTTTATTTATTAAATTATTTATTGTTTTTATGTTTAGAGATTTGAGTAAACTTTTCTCAGTAAAAATAAGCCTACAAAAATTTAAAAAAAAGAATAAGCTTTGTTTTGAAAATGCTTATTTATACTATAAAATTCAGTATCGGAAAACATAATTGATGTACTTTTTCCCCTTTAGCACAATTTATCTGTTTCATCTTTCATCACAGAGAATTGTACCAAAATGAATAAAGTAAATATGTGTCTACTAAGAATTTAACAAGAATGGCATGTTCGGCAGTTTAATTTTTGAACCCTTATATTTATTCATGTTTATATATATTTATTCAATGAATATATATATATACTAGTGTGCAAAAGGTTTTAATCAGCACGCAAATTATCTATAAAAAACAAAATATCCTTTTACAATGAATAAATTTATTGATAACATGTTTAAAAGCAATATTTGAATGTATTGCTAATAAGAATAACACATTAACACTACATACAAATACCTATTAGACCTATGTTTAATACAGTTCTATACTTTTNTCAGAAAACCGGAAAAATCAGTTATCCGGAAAGCGATGGTCCCGACCATTCCGGATAATCGGTTCCCTACTGTACGATTTTTTTTAAAAATGACTTTTTACTGTTTTTCAGTTTTAAATACTTTAATGTTTAGAAGTGTGTTTTGGTTCATTATTTTGTAGAGAGACAAACCTTTTGCTGATATTACCAATAACGGATGACATAAGATGATGTACTAAATTACTATGTGTATATGTATTCAGCGATTCCACTTTGGTGCTGTAGTGCACCAAATACACTGAAAATTGTTAAGATTAGACACTAAAGATTGGTTATGACTCATCCCGGGGACATAAAATTTTCTTCCACAAAATTAATGAAATAGCTAGCTTGCAGATTTCTGGACAAAATTAAAGTAAACTTTAAAAAACAATTACTTTGTTTTAATAGAAGAAGGAAAAATAAAGTAGTCATTAAATGTATTTTTTACAAAATGTATGAAAAATCAAAATATTCAAAATTCTACCCATTCTTTTAGTTTTAATATCCCATCCCCCAAACCATATTTTTTATTTAAAAAAAATTGCAAATATATTTTTGGATTTCAAAGTATAAGCAATATTTTAAAAAAAAATTTCCCTAACATGGCATTAAAAAATAAATTCAGATTTTCTTTTCTAATAAATATTGATTTTCTTCTACTAAATGAATATTATATAATATTTTAAATCCTTCATATTTCAGAAATGTAATATTTTCTATGTGCGCGGAACAGTAATTTTTTGACTGAATTTTTTTTTTTTGTAGTTAATGGAAAATCTTGGTCCTCAAATTATTCCTTCCTCTCACCCAGCCACTTTAAGAGTAATAAGAATCGTCAATAGAATTTTGCAAGCCAACCAAGACATCCAAGAAATACATGGAAAGCAATGGGGTGTGTCTATCATTGATAGTCCAATAGAAAATGCTTTTGTATTGCCTGTAAGTTAAAACTATATACATCTTTGATAAATTTTTAGCCCATTGAAGCTTTCAAATACATTATTCAGCCTGTCATTCAGAATTTTCATTAAAACAATGCTAATTTTAATATTTTGACAAATTTATGTGGTTTTAGATAAGACTTAAAAATGAAATTCTTCATCATTGTAAAGTGCCTTTTTTTAAAAAGGTTATTGAGTATTAAGTGGTTTTCTTCAAGTTCTAATAATATTCTCATTTTTGGTATCCTAGCAAAGAATTTTCTTCTTCTTATTATTATTATTTATGTCTCATGATCAATGTCAACTTAAAATATGTGTATAATTTTTATTCTTCTTATTAGCTTCATTGACTTTCCTGCAACTTGAAGCCTCATTTATTTGGACTTTCTATTGCATGCCTAACTCTTCCAAATCTGATAACATTTCATCATTTAAAAAATGTTGTGTTTTAATTCTGTTAAGTTATTATGTATTGTTTTATTTAACTAAGGTCTCAAGATATTAATCTCATTTTCTCAACAAAAAAAAAAAATCAATAATTTTTTGAGTAGTCAAATATAATGTTTTTTAAACTGCATAATCAGGGTTGGCAAGTTTTTGACCATGGTTTTACCGTCATGTCAAAAACCCTTCTGTCAAAAACGTACAAAACTGTCAAAAACCCATAGTTTTGATAAAACGGTATTTTAATTGGAGTTTAACTGCTTATGATTCAAAATTAATTCATTTTTGGGCAATAAAATTAGAAAAAAAGTTGTTAAAAGATATTTAAGAACAGATTTTTGCATTTTCCCAACATGACTATATCAAATCATATTATTTGAAGCAAAATATTAGGATACTAAAAAAAAATTTCAACATTTCCAAGCATCATTTTTTTTGGCATATTACATTACTGAAGAATGCAATGTCATTCCTGACTTAGAGTTTGTTAGTAGTTACAAGTTTTGAAAGATTTGTTTAGCTTATTTCTAATATTTAAGAAATGCCAAATTTTAAATTCTTCTTTTTAGTTCTTGAATTTATAAATAGTTCCAAGTTTTTTTTGTTTGTTTGTTTATTTCTAACAATTAAGAAGTGCAAAATTTTGAATCCTTTGCAAATCAAGCTGTAATGATAAAAGTTAAGTATCAATATTTTCAATAAGTATGTTACGATATTTCTGTATGAATGTATATCCTTCTATAAGAATACCTGTATATAGTTGCAAAATCAATAGCAATCATTTACAACATTCATTTATAAAGGCTATTAAGTGAAAATAATATATTGTCCGCTATATGCCATAAATGAAAGAAAACAGTATGTTTTTACCGGTAAAAACACGGTTTTTACCACTGTCATGTCAAAAATCAGTTTTTGACGACAAAAACCCAAAACTGTGCATAATTATAAATGGCAAAATTCAAAATTTTATGATATCATTTAAATAGTTTACAAGTAATACAAATTCGAGAAAGTTGTAATTTTAATTTTTGTATTTTTAAATTTCATATTTTTGTATCGCATTTCCTATTTTTGTTTTTTAAAATTTTGTTTGATTAATAAAATTTTATTTATTTTTAAAATTCTTGCAACCCAAAGTCTTATTTATTTGGGCTTTATATTGCATGCCAAGTATTTACTCCTCCAAATGAGATAAAAAATAATTCTCAAACTTGATGCGACATTAATTTTCGTTATCATGTTTTAATTTGTATTTGATTTGAAACCTGTAATTATTATTAAATATAAATTTTTTTAAAAGAAGCTTTCAAGAAATTTATCTCTTTTTCTTTAAAAAAAAAATGTCTTTTTTCTTTAAAACCAATAATTTTTTGTGTTGTCCAGTATAAAAAGTCTCATTTCATTTTAAATGACAAAATCCAAAATTTTATGATATTATTTAAATAGTGTCTGAGCAATTAAAATTCAAAAAACATTTTATTTTTAATTTTTCAAGGATTATTCAGACTCTTATTTTGGATTTACTAATTTATTATTACATAATTTAAAACTAAATAAAATTTATATACTGTTGCACTCTAAAAATTTTCAACCATATATTGATAAAAAATTTTAAATGATAAAAAAAAATTAACAAGGTAAAATAATTGGAATTATTATTGGATAAACAAGTAAAAAAATTAAGCTAAATTGTTCTAGAGAAATGCACCTTAATTATAATTAACACATAGGGACTTTCAAATGTTCTTCTGAATGAATTATTGTGTTGTTCGAGAATATATTTTTTTAAATAAAAATTAAAGACTATTTTCTTACAGTGAATAATTTATTTTTCAAATTATATATTGCATTTAAGTAATCTCACAAGTCATTATTCGCCAGTTTGCATCAGTTAATACCTTTATTATGTCTTCATAAGTTTCAACTGGCCTTCCAGAACATGGAAAATTTTCAACATTAAAATTTCTGTATCGAAATTTCGCCGACTGGTTTCGGCATTGACATACTTTAGATACATCTTCTCGTCTGATAATTTTTTTTCTTGTTTGAAAAGTATCTTTATCTTTTTGTAAGAAAGGAGTAATGTATGCCGGAAATGCTATGTTTTTCTTTCGGTATATGAAAGGGCACCAACCAAAAGCTACTGCATAGAATCACTCAAACTTTTCACAAGCAAGCTTTTGTATATAAACTATCAAAATATATATTGGTTTTTTCAGCTTAAGTGTGAAGTTGACAGTTTAGGAAAAATGTAATTAAGTTCTGTTGAGGAAATTACAAAATTGTTACCCAATATTAGGATTATATTTTTCTGATTGTGGCTATAATTTAAGGATCAAAAATCTATTCCCATCAATTAAAGGTATATTTATTCAAAGAAAACTATCTCTGAAAATCCATTAAAAAATCATGCAAACAATTCTAGAGAAATCAATGATACAAAAGTGATTGAAAGTTCAGAAGAAAAATTACAAATTCTTTTCAAAATAAAATTTTTGTTATCTAAGTTGTAGAGAATCCTATTTTTTTTAACAATTAAATATTTTCCCTCAGATTGGACATGTCTTTGTGTTTACTGGTATGCTGAAACTATGCACTAATGATGATCAACTTGGAGGAATATTGGCTCATGAAATTGCACATTGTCTACAAAATCATGGAGTATTCTTTAGCTTTTATTTATTTTTTTTATAGATAAATTAAGTAATTTTATGAAATCTATTGTATAATCCATTTCACTTAATGGATTTAAAACTGGGAGTTTAAATAATTTAAGTTAAATCTTTCCAGGCAAGGTTCATTGATTAAAAAAACAAAACAAAAAAAACGTCAATCTAAGTCAATTAATCTTTTTTAAAGAAATAAATCATGAATTTAAACATTTACTTAGCATTTAATTTGTGCTTGTTTAAAGTTTTTTACTTATTATTATTACTTATTAAATTTATTTTGAGTTATATTTATTGCTATGTTAGTAAGTTTCAATTAACAAAATAACGTTAGTACTTGTTGTGCTATAACTTTTCAAATGACATTAGATCTCACGTTATTCAGCGTGTATGATTTAATTTTTTATTTTTTGCAAATTATGCCAACTATATATATCTTTGTGTGTGGGGGGGGGGGAATACACAACAGCAATGCAACCAGCACAAACTCTGAACAGACACTTTAAAACCCTTCTCATATTTAATTTTTTAACAAAGTTTTTTGTTTTAATCATATTTATATTCTCTTAATTTTACCTCAATATACCAAAGACCAATCTCTATGTGTGTATATCGTAAAGATTTCGTGAAGGAGAAGAAAAAAATTTTTAAAATATATTTTTAAAAATTTTAACAAATTTTAATAAAAATAATTTTAAAAAATTGGAAAATGAAATAAAATTAGGAAATGATGTAATCTTACCAACTCACAGGATTATTAAAAACAAAAATAGCTCTTTCTAATATTGTATTGATATATTAATAATATATTGTATTGATATATTTTGCTTTGGCTGTAATACAATATTAGAAAGCACTATTTTTTTCAGTTATAATTGTGTGCGCTGACGACAAGATTATATCGTTTCTTAATTTTATTTTATTTTCCAATTTTATTTCATTTTACTATTTTTTAATTTGTGAATATTTTTTAAAAAGATTAAATATTTTTTTCCCATCTCCTTTGGGAAATCTTTATATATTTTTCCTTGTTTTCTCTATAGTTTTGACTTATTTTATGAGTTATATGTACTTGCAGGCTTACGCACAATAGGAAAAAAACTTATTATATTTCTTAATTTTCTTCATTATTTTCTTTTTTCCTTTTTGACTTTTTTTCCTTTTTGTCTTGCTTCAAAATTTCATTCGCTTCAAAAATATACAAATTAAAACTAGCAGTCAACATGTCTCAAACATTCAAAAATTGACTCCTATTTTTGAACGAGACATGAAGGAGAAGAAACAAAGGTAGTTTGAATTATAAAATGTAGAGTTACCGTTGAAAAAAAGACAGGTGAGAAACAAAACTAGAGACAATATAGCAGTTGAGAAAGAAAAAAGATGAAAAGCAAAACAAGAAAAAACTCATTGACTGAAAAAAGCAAAAAAGAGTAAAATTCATTTCTATGCACTATGGAGAGATAGTGAGGGACTAATATCAATAAAAGAATCAGCATTCATAAGAAGAAAACAAGTTTCGAAGGTATTAAGATGAGCTGATGTGATGGGCGGGAATAATTTTAGCTTTTTTAAAATTTAATTTATGTGCAAGATTCCACCAATGTACAGCAATTGATGAGCTCTCGCATTCTTGATAATAGATATATCTTTCGTGTTTCTTAAATCTGAATATTATAGCTCATTTAGGTTCTCCAATGAAGTCAGAGAAACTAGACGTGCTTTAAAATTCATTTCAATAATTTGTCGATAACTGTCTGTTCCAATGAAGTCAGAGAAACTAGACGTGCTTTAAAATTCATTTCAATAATTTGTCGATAACTGTCTGTAATTTGGAGTTTAATTTCAGTTTTAATTGGAGTTTTTCTACTTCCTAGTTCTTTTGTTGTTCCATTATTGGTAAGTCTTGTACTTCTTATTTTGGTGTCTCAGAGATTTTTGAGTTATTACACAAATAATGAGTGGATACACTGCCATTATACAAGTTTCACATTTTATCTTTTGATGTAGTGAGTATATAAGTTATTGCTTCAGTCATATAAGTTTTTGTTGTCCACAGTCATTTTGTTTTGTCAAAAAGGCTTTTTTTTCTAATAACCATATTACGCTATTTGGTGACCAATATGTTTACACTTATAACAAAAGATTTTAAAATATTCTTTCTCTTTTTTATTTCTTTGACACTAAATTTTTTTTAGCTTTATTTCTAACATTTGATAGTTTTTTTCTAAAATGATTTTCTTTGAATATATCAAAGCCATAATTCTGCATTTTATCCTCTCACTGTGTATCTGCTTCTTCAGCTATTTTAATTCATAGTATTCCCAGTTTTGGAAGTTCATTTCTTAATTCCATCGTACGTATAAAATATTCAAATTTCTTTTAACCAGTATTAAAAATTTTCCCAGTATTCCAAGTAAGTTAAGTGAGAAAAAAAAACTCTTGTAGGATTATCTATTATAAATCATATGTGCTGGGCTCATTCTGGTTTCATCTAACTTATTAAGTGAAAGACGTGTGCTGTAAAGTGAATACAAGTATTTCTGTAATCCCAGAAAGCTGATTAATTGCTTTCTTAAACTAGTTTCAAAAGGATTTATTTATCATTTACTCTTGTTAGTCTTTGTTGAATAGAAGTATAGGAGGTATGGTTCACCCTAACTTATTTTATAATTACACATTTATTTGGTAGATTAATATCAAATTGCAGCATAGTGTGAAGTAGAATTGCATGATGTTTTGCTCAATCTGCCATTTGTAAGTAAGCTTAAACTTAGGTTGATTGAAAATTCTTCATTGCAAATTTTGTTAATGCTATACATTTTCTCATTTCTGTATAGTGTCCTGGCATTTTGTGTTTCCTATGGTTTCCCTTACTTTTTAATGTTCTTGCAAATTCTTTTCACTTTGTAAGAATTCTTCTTTGAATTAATGGCTTTTAATGTTTATTTTTTATGAATTAACATTGATATACTTATAAAAGTATTTAATTATTACATTCTTTATAGGCCGAAAATATTAGCTTTACTCATCTGTTAGACATGGTTTCTATTTTTATCATCGCTGCTATTTGGGCTGTACTACCAAGTGACATAATTTCTTTCCTTACTCATTGGGTGTATCAGAAATCACTTGAGGTAAGTATGTCCATTGCTCTATTGCTTTTCCCATTATTTTAGAAAATTATTTCAAATTTTGAATGGTCTGTTATTATTCTTTTATTTTTGNATTATTACTTATTAAATTTATTTTGAGTTATATTTATTGCTATGTTAGTAAGTTTCAATTAACAAAATAACGTTAGTACTTGTTGTGCTATAACTTTTCAAATGACATTAGATCTCACGTTATTCAGCGTGTATGATTTAATTTTTTATTTTTTGCAAATTATGCCAACTATATATATCTTTGTGTGTGGGGGGGGGGGAATACACAACAGCAATGCAACCAGCACAAACTCTGAACAGACACTTTAAAACCCTTCTCATATTTAATTTTTTAACAAAGTTTTTTGTTTTAATCATATTTATATTCTCTTAATTTTACCTCAATATACCAAAGACCAATCTCTATGTGTGTATATCGTAAAGATTTCGTGAAGGAGAAGAAAAAAATTTTTAAAATATATTTTTAAAAATTTTAACAAATTTTAATAAAAATAATTTTAAAAAATTGGAAAATGAAATAAAATTAGGAAATGATGTAATCTTACCAACTCACAGGATTATTAAAAACAAAAATAGCTCTTTCTAATATTGTATTGATATATTAATAATATATTGTATTGATATATTTTGCTTTGGCTGTAATACAATATTAGAAAGCACTATTTTTTTTCAGTTATAATCGTGTGCGCTGACGACAAGATTATATCGTTTCCTAATTTTATTTATTTTCCAATTTTTTTTCATTTTACTTTTTTTTTAATTTGTGAATATTTTTTAAAAAGATTTAATAATTTTTTTTTTCTCCTTTGGGAAATCTTTATATATTTTTCCTTGTTTTCTCTATAGTTTTGACTTATTTTATGAGTTATATGTACTTGCAAGCTTACGCACAATTGAAAAAAAACTTATTATATTTCTTAATTTTCTTCATTATTCTCTCTTTTCCTTTTTGTGTTTATTATGTGTATATGTATATAATATATAGTGTATATATAACATATATATACACAGTAGAACTCAGATTAACCGCTCCCCCCGCTCATGAATTAAAAAAAACCTACTTTTAGTGTCATTTCAGCCTAGTCCCATTTTAGTTCCTATGATAATAATGTATAATAAGTCCTGTATTAAGAGTGCCTTCCTTACCTTTCCTACTACCTGAAAATACCAACCTGCTTGGTTATCTTTTTACGTCCCAACTACGGATACATGCCATGTTTTCCTTATTTTTCTACTGTGGAGGGTGATAACAAAAGAACTTCTCCCCTTCAATGCAGACAAGTGAAGAAGATCACATCGCTTTTGTTAAAGTGGTATTTATCTTTCAAGTGTTAAGTGCATCATCACATATTGAGGTGGTAGCCATTATACGTGTATGTTACTCCACCACGTTCCCCTACAAGTTCTCAGTCTGTTGATGACCAGTAAAAAAAAATCTATTCTATTTTCTTACCAATGTCTGTTTAACAATGGAAGATGGTCAATTTGATGTCATTGGGAACTTAAAGCTGACATGGTTAAAATCTGCCCTTTATTGCTTCTCATTTAATAAGAAATCGTACTGAAAAATGGCTACGAAGGAAAAGGCTTTATCCTGACTGAAAAAGCAAACATTATTGAAAAATCTAGACAATTTGTTGGCACCAAAAATGAATTGACCTCATCTTTAAGACTGGTAACATCTCTCAAAACAATGCTTCGTTAGCAAGATGTCATAGAAACAAAACTGCAGACTTTAAGAAAGTGAAATCTACCCCTTATGCAGAACTGGAAATGATTTTGCTGGAATGATTTGAACAAGCACATTCTATGAATCAACAAATTAACAGATCAATTTTGAAAGAAAAGGACCTGGAAATTGCATTCCATCTGAATTTGCAAGCTTTTACTGCATCAAATGGCTGGCTTGACAGGTTTAAGAATAGGAATAATTTGGCTTATTGTACTATATGTGGTGAATCGGCAAGTGTGGATAAAACAACTATTGAAGAGTAGAAAAGTAAGACTTTGCCAACATTAATACGAAATTAATCTCCTTCTAGATAAGACATACACCGTAAAAGGAGAGCAATGTCATGGAGAAAAATTGTCCCTGGAAAGGTTTACCATTCTTCTATGTTGCAACTCTGATGGAAGTGAAAAACTAACCTTCCTTGTTATCAGTTACTCTAAAAATCTTTGCTGTTTCAAAAATGTTAAAACTTTTACAACTGCCTACAAAGCGAACAAAAAATCGTTTATAACCAAAGTCCTATTCACTGATAATTTACGAAGGTTTGGTTGATAAATGTGTTTGCAAAAGCGCAATATTATCTTGTTTATAGACTAGTGTACTGCTCATAAAAAAATGTATTTAAAAAAATTATTTAAAATTTTTTAAAATATATATATGTATATATGGATACAATATTAGAAAGCGCTCTTTTTTTTGCAACTATAATTGTGCAAGCTGATGACAGGATTATATCTTTCCCTTATTTTATTTTCCGGCTTTTTATTTATTTTCTTATTTTTTATTTATTTTCTTATTTTTTTAATTTTTATATTTTTTTCCTGTTTTCTTTGTATTTATATATTTTGGCATCTTAAAGAAGATTACTTTGCAAGTATATTTTGGGATCTTAAAGTAGATGCAGGATATTATCTTGCTATGGCATAAAAAAAAAAACTTTTAAGGAAAATTTAGATTATCTTTTCTTATAGTTTTACTTTACTTATTTATTTTTTTTTAAAAAATAAATGAGCATGTTAGTTAAATAAATAATCCTAAGAAACTGAACCGGTAAGATATTACTTGCTTCAAAATTTAATTCGCTTCAAAAATAGACAAATTAAAAATAGCAGTCAACATGTCTCAAACGTTCAAAAATTGACTCCTATTTTTGAACGAGACATGAAGGAGAAGAAACATAGGTAGTTTGAATTATAAAATGTAAAGTTACCGTTGAAAAAAGAAAGGTGAGAAACAAAACTAGAGACTATAGCAGTTGAGAAAGAAAAAAGATGAAAAACAAAACAAGAAAAAACTCAGTGTCTGAAAAAGCCAAAAAAGAGTAAAATTCATTTCCATGCACTATGGAGATGTAGTGAGGAACTAATATCATTAAAAGAATCAGCATTCATAAGAAGAAAACAAGTTTCGAAGGTATCAAGATGAGCTGATGTGATGGGCGGGAATAATTTTAGCTTTTTTAAAACTTAATTTATGTGCAAGATTCCACCAATTTTCAGCAATTGATAAGCTCTCGCATTCTTGATAATGGATATATTTTTTGTGTTTCTTAAATCTGAATATTATAGCTCATTTAGTTATTTGGAGTTTAATTTCAGTTTTAATTAGAGCTTTTCCACTTCCTAGTTCTTTTGTTGTTCCATTATTGATAAGTCTTGTACTTCTTATTTTGGTGTCTCAGAGATTCAGAAATTTTTGAGTTATTACACAAATAATGAGTGGATACACTGCCATTATACAAGTTTCACATTTTATCTTTTGATGTAGTGAGTATATAAGTTATTGGTTCAGTCATGTAAGTTTTTGTTGTCCACAGTCATTTTGTTTTGTCAAAAAGGCTTTTTTTCTAATAACCATATTGCGCTATTTGGTGACCAATACAATATGTTTACACTTATAACAAGAGATTTTAAAATATTCTTTCTCTTTTTTATTTCTTTGACACTATTTTTTTTTTTTTTTTAGCTTTATTATTTCTAACATTTGATAGTTTTTTTCTAAAATGATTTGTTTGAATACATCAAAGCCATAATTCTGCATATCATTGTGCATCTGCTTCTTCAGCTATTTTAATTCACAGTATTTCCACTTTTGGAAGTTCATTTCTTAATTCTATCGTTTGTATAAAATATTCAAATTTCTTTTAACCGGTATTAAATATTTTCCCAGTGTTCCAAGTAAGTTAAGTGAAAAAAAACTCTTGTAGGATTGTATATTATAAATCATAAGTGCTGATTTAGGGCTCATTCTGGTTTCATCTAACTCAGTGGTTACCAACTGGCAGCCCGCGGACCTCTTCCGGCCCGCGAAGCCTTTTTTTGTGGCCAGCTAGTCAAAATATATTAGTTGTAATTTTTTGCTGTCAATTTTAACAGAAAATCTGTATGGGTTTTAAATACTTTTAAGTTTTATATCTTAGCAATTTGATGTATGTTGCACATTAATTGTTAAATACATAGGTGCACATTAAAGTTATTGTAGCCAGAGTTTTTTAATATGCTTTTAAATATTTTTAAAAATCTACTTCTTATTTTAATTTGTAATTCAATACTTTTGTTAAATATCTGCCAATACTTGATAAAAATCTGATAGTAATATTTAATGTTCCTCCAAACATAAAAGTGTCCTATATAAAATTTTGCTGAAGTTGCGGCCTGCCATTTGACTGGTATTTTTAATTGCCGCCCCCGGCCTCATGTAAGTTGGAAACCCCTGATCTAACTGATTAAGTGAAAGACGTGTGCTTTAAAATGAATACAAATATTTCTGTAATCCCATAAAGCTGATTAATTGCTTTCTTAAACAAGTTTTAAAAAGATTTATTTCTCATTGACTCTTGTTAGTCTTTGTTAAATAGAAGTATAGGAGGTATGGTTCACCCTAACTTTTTTTATAATTACACATTTATTTAGCAGATTTGCATCAAATTGCAGCATAGTATGAAGTAGAATTGCATGATGTTTTGCTCAATCTGCCATTTGTAAGTAAGTTTAAACTTCGGTTGATTCAAAATTCTTCATTGCAAATATTGTTGATGCTACACATTTTCACATTTCTGTATAGTGTCCTGGCATTTTGTGTTTATAGTTTTCCTTACTTTTTAATGTTCTTGCAAATGCCTGCTTTTCACTTTGTAAGAATTCTTCTTTGAATTAATGACTTTTAATGTTTATTTTTAATGAATTAACATTGATATACTTAAAAAAGAAGTATTTAATTATTGCATTATTATTTTGCATGTCTTTATAGGCCGAAAATATTAGCTTTACTCATCTGTTAGACATGGTTTCTATTTTTATCATCGCTGCTATTTGGGCTGTGCTACCAAGTGACATAATTTCTTTCCTTACTCATTGGGTGTATCAGAAATCACTTGAGGTAAGTATGTCCATTGCTCTATTGCTTTTCCCATTATTTTAGAAAATTATTTCAAATTTTGAATGGTCTGTTATTATTCTTTTATTTTTGCATCGATTAAATTTAATTTGTTTATTTTGTTTCAGATTTTATTACAGCTTCCTTACAACAGAAAAATCGAAACCGAAGCTGACACTGTTGGATTACAGCTTGCTGCAAAAGTTGGTATATTTCAGACGGGGCAAATAATAAAATGTTTCTTTAATAATATTATATATCGAAGATATTTAAAAAAACAATTAATGAATTGTTAACTAAGATTTAAATCTACTCTTACTAATAATATACTTTAATAACTAATAATAATACTTACTAATATTTCTTTGTCAGTAATAATAATACTCCTCTCTGCTTATTATTAAATCTCAACTTTTTCTCTTTCTGTCTTTGATTAGTTTAAGTTATGTATTTATTATGTTATCATCATGGTATTATTTTCAGAATGCTCTTTTTTTTAATGGAAATTTGTAGGGTATAAATGTCTATTTTCTATGCCCATGACTAAGATTTTTGCATATTATTCTTGAATTACAATTTTTCAATGAAGAATCTGTTTAAGTTAGAGTCAAATGTGTTATGTTCAAAAATAAAATAAAAAATTTAATGCCTCCACATTAGCTTTGACAATCTGAACTTTTTAAAAATGTAAAATTTAAATTTCAATAAGCAAGAACATTATAATTATATTTTGTTAATATATTTTTTTGCATTAAAATTTTATGATGATTTTTCATATCATGGAATGTTGAGTGTCATAAATAGTAACCTAGTTCTAAAGATATTTAAATTGTATTTTAAAAATAAAAATGTGTGCCTTCTTAAATAAATTTTTATTTAAATACAAAATGCATTTATATTTTAATATTATACTTGTCATTTATACAATGCTACCTTTTTTCCTACATTTTTTTATTTGAAAATTGGAAAATATTGTGAATTTATAATTGTTTTAAATATTTACTTCATGACATTAGCAGGCAAAGTTTTTTTAAAAAATGTATCTCCCATGCACAAGGAAGGAGCTATTTGTTACTAAACTATTTGTTATGAAATTTTAAAGCATTTTTTAGCAATATTTTTTTAGCATATTTTTTTAGCAATGGTGAAATACTGCCCTTTAAAGTGATATTTATGATGAATATTATCAATATCACTTTAAAGATCACTCCATGATAAGAAAATAGTATATTTCAAATATTAATTCAGGCTAATATAGCTGTTAATGAATTATATAGTTTTAGAAAATTTTTTCATTAAAATCAGCTAAATTGCATTTTTCCATATGCCTGAAATAGTCATGATCTGTGTGTCACTGTTTTGCCAACAATCCTTTGAAATGAAATATGTACATATAATTATTCTTTTAGTTGCTTTCATGGATGCATGCTTTATACTTAAATGCTATGGGATGCTATATAGGAGATTAAAAAAATGTTTGCCAATTTTCATTAAATCAACTACTTTCTGAAAATAAAAATTATATCCTTTATTGTTTTTTTTCCCTTGCTTTTTCTCAAGTTAATATTAATTCATTCTACTGGTGACTATTTAGTTAAATATGCAACTTTAAAATTTTTATGATTCTTAGAAAAAAAAACTATGCGGATATTTATTAGAGTAGCAAATGCCATCACCTATAAGTTAAAAAGCTTATTTCATACTCCTACGCATACAATAGCATTATGATTTAAACTATGTATTTTTTGTCTTTAAATTGCTGAAATTTGAAATAGGATATTTTTAAATAAAAGTTTGGTAGTGTGCTAATGTCAATTGGAAATTTTTTGTTAATCTTTAAATTGATTTCAACCGCAAAGTAACTATCAAACCATTTGAATTTGTAGCTGCGGGCAGCACATATTAAATAAATGCCACAACTATTAAACAACCGATGCACTAATATATGCTTCAATGTAATAAAATCTATTTAACATGTATTTTAGCATACTGAGTAGGAAAAATCTGATCTTTAGTCCTTGAAAGCCATTGAGAAATCCTAGAATTTTTTTTTTTTTAATTGTTTGGGATCCCTGTAATTTTTCTAACTTTGCTCTAAACCACTTGTAAATCCAACATTGGTAAAAAAAAAAGTTTTTTTCATTAATTTTGTAAAACTTTTTTTTTTATTTCCAGGGTTAAATGATAATTTGAGTTGATTTTTTACTAAGCACATGTATATTAATATGATGCTAAATTTTTTTTTTATTAATTGTTCCAATCAGATTAAAGTTATTATTCTAAGTTATTATTCTAAGTTATTATTCTAAATAAAAGAGCTGATGTTTAAAACTATTCCAAAAATGTGAAACTACTGCTCCAAATATCCATTCACTCACTGGAATAAATTAATAACACGGATTGATTTTATATTTATTATGTAACATTATAAAACTATCACAATTTTTGTTTAGGACAATATATCTATATATATATTTATAAAAGACCGTGCTTTTTTTAAAAAGAAAATTAAAATTTTTCTCCCTCTGCTCATTTTTACTCATTTTCTTATACAGTGTCTACATTAAATTTTTGTTATCTCATAGGATAAACTTCCATTCATGTTATTAACAATATGTATTAGATGATTTTTAAAAGTTTTTAACGGATACCAGTAGTGTTAAATTAAGTGTGCCGATTCTTGAATATTTTGAACCTTTAAAATAATACAGAAATATATACATTGTAGGTAAAATAAATGAATAAGCTATTTATTTTTTTAATTGGTAAATTTTTGCACCTTGTTTATTTTTAAATTAACAAATAGTGAAACTTTAATTTGCTTTGTGTTATAAATAGAATATTTTATTTACATTTTTTTAACATTGTAGGCTTGCTTTGATGTTCGGGAATGTAGTGCTTTTTGGAGTAAGATGGCCATCTTAAAAAAGACTTTTGGGGATAATCAACAAATAGAGTTTTTATCCACGCATCCAAGCCATGAGAAACGTTCAGAGTATCTTGATACTATTATGGACAAAGTATGTTACCTCTTTATTTCACTTTTTAATATGAATTTAGACATTTATATTTAAATAGTCAAAAAACTTATCGTTTCAGGGGGGAAAATGTATACTTTAAATTTTTTATGGAATTTTTATGCATTTTTTTATTATTTAAAATATAAAATTTTGAATCACATGAAAATGGCTCATATTATTCGTCTTGTTTATTATCAATGAAAACAAAAACATTTGAGCTTGTTTTATCTTTTTAGATATCGTTAAAATTTTTTATCAAGAAAATTATTTTCTTATTTATGGAAAAAGAATTTCCTTTAATATTTAACTCTTAAAAATGGACAGTCAACAGTTACAGTTCATAATCGCATTTAAAGTAGAGATGTATCCCACAATTACCCTGTTTTTCTTTATCCGGTTATAACAGCAAAGGAATTTCGTCTTCGGGTACCCACAACCGGTTTTTAGTCCCTATACTCCGATCTAGCCAATTGTTACCAAATAACGCTCATTTATGTTCAGCGCACCCATATCCAGATTTATAGTGACTTTAAAACTATTAATAAAGATAATTGTTGTTTTTGAAATCCATTTATTGTATCAGTTTCTTAATAATCAAGTTGGAATAATTTGGTTCTGGCTCGACATGTTTTAGTCCTGTGCAAAATTTTAATTCTTGGTAAAGTGGACAACTATGGTACAAAAGAATAAGTTTGCTAAAACGAGGAGAAAAATATGCAATTTCAGAAATTCTAATGCTGAAAACTATTTTATCTAAATTGATGTGATTGCTTAAAATAAATATTAAGTTAGAAATAGGGAATTACATTGTTATTTATATAAAGTTAATAAAATTATGATGAATAAAATTTGAGGATAACTGAAAAAAAATATATGTATTACTTTCCTACTAAATTTGATGCAATATGTTTTTATTGGTGTTTTTAGACTTATTAATTTATCGAAGTATAATAGACAACAATGGAACTTAAATATATTCTCACAAAAGACACATTGGTTAATATAATTCTATTGCTGATTTAAATGCCATTATAGACTAATTTCCTAGTAAACCAAAGTACTTTTCCTAGTAAACCGAAAACCAAGACAGTTTTAACAAAAATTCATAAATGGTTTTTTTAAAGATAGTTTGTGTTTTTAAAACAAAACGAAAAAGAAATTGTTTTACATAACTCAACAAAGAAACTTATTTGGAAACATTTTATAAGTTGATTAACATTTACATTGAAAAGAATTATGCATAAATCATATTGGGCATTGGTAACTTTGTTATAAAATTTAACTAGTGAGCTTGTTTCTTGTGTGGTAGCTCAATAGTTTCCATTTTTATCCAGTATGGTAAAAATTTTCTTACCGGCTGGTTAATCATTAGTGGTTTTTGTTGTTTTATTCTCTGTGTAGGGCAAAGTTTCAATGAAACCAAATTTATCCCATGTTTGTTGCTTAATTTGAGAGTTACTTTATTTTTAGGGAATCAAAATTTATAAGGCTGTGGTAATAGAATTGCATCATTAAGGACAGTAAAACCATTATATGAATCTTTTGTTCAAAATGGTATATTATTTTTCACTGAGTATTGAAATTAATAAAGAGTGTATTAAGCTGGATGTCATTGCTTTTGAATTAAGTTTATCATTAATCAGAGGATTAACTATTAAACCCTGAGTTAAAACATTTTTCATTAAAATACCTTCATTTAATTAAAATGTTTTTAAGAAATCTGATGTTTAACAAAAGCTACACTGATATGTGCTATCATAAATTTAAGTAAATCAAGTGAAAATCAATTAATTGAAAAGTTTACTATTAGCAGGTATCTCCATAGCAAAGTTTTACATTATTCATTCATTATACATCAAACAGTTTTCCTTTATTTTTTTTAGAAGCTTTTTTATAAAATTTGATTCAAAATATCTATACATAAAGATATATGTTATGCATTTATATGTGTTTATATACACATAAATAAATATATGTGTATGTGTGTGCAATAAATTTCCTTCAAGCAATAATCTTGTAAAATATTTGTTCGATAGAAATTTATATGATTTATATATTCTTTTGTAATATAAATGTACGATTTTTATTTTGTATTTTGTGTTGTAATATCTGGCTGGGTAATAAATCCAAACGTTACTGTTTACCTACAAGCAGCTAGGTAACAAAATAAAAGTTTCATTGAGTATCCAAACCCGGAGAAAAAAAAATTTGGACCCAATACATCCCTTATTTAAGGCATGTTACTTTCTAGTGCTCTACACCAACTCATGATATTAGATGCCAAAATGTTTTTTTTTTAATATATTTATTTAACAATTGCAATTTCTTAAAAATTATTTTTAAAGTTTTTTTTAGCATGATGAATGGCATGAGCATTTGGTTTTGTAAACTTTGTGATTTGAATGCTTTCTCAATTTCAACAACATACATTTTAGTACTTTTTCTGCATGTAGAATTTATTCTTTATTAGATCCTTTGCCATCCTTAGATTTAAATTAGAAATTGTTTTAAATTTAGATTTACAAAAATTGGATTTTTTTTTTTTTTTTGTAGGTGCCATGAACTGAGGCAAAATTATTCTAATCTTTATTTCTTAGCAATATCAATATTTATATATGTGTGTATATGTATATATATGAACGAATTATTTATTCAATGAGAATTCTAAATACAAAACCTCTGAGTGTTCCCATTCCTCTTAGAGGCTGTATTTTTATCAGTTGCTGTTGCAAATGACAAAGATTATTAAAATTAATACTGTTTGTCTAAATTTTGGGATTAAAATTAACATGCAGTGAGAGTCAGACTTATTTGTCTTACACCACTCTCATATATTCAAGAGCATGAAAATGGCATTTCATTTGTGTCTTTGCCAACCTAGTAATCCAATAAAGCAGTTACACTTTCTGTTTTATTCTTACTTAAATATTAAATAAGGATCTCTAATGTAAATTTACTTCACTTTTTACAAAGATTCTAAAAATACAAATAAAGAGTGTTGATTATCTAACAACCCCTAAAATATACCACTTATGGGGCTGAAATGCAATTAAAAATTTCCATTTTGTTAAGGGTACCTGGATTTGAATTTGGGAACCACTATTTGAAGATAGAACTTGAACTTGAAACATTTACAGCTAATGATATGAGAAATAAAAAAGTTTCTAAATTGATTCTCTCAATTAATTATATTTCATGTGTTTGGTGTACTCTTGTTTTCTCTAAAATAGTTTTTCTTGTCATTTTATTTACTTATTAACCAGATTATCAATGATTTCTGCAGGCAATATCACTTCGTAAAGATTCTGGATGCCCAGACTTGAAGTCCAGGGATCCTAGACTTGATGTTGAAGGCGTAAGCAAAGCTCTAGAACTGGCCAGAAGACAATACTTAGAGCGTAATCCAAAACCTGTAATCGTTTATTGAGTATGATTTTGCTATTTAATTTGTTAAAATATTTATAAACTAATCAAAATCTTTTTTTTAATTAATACTTATTGTTTTCTGGTTGTACAAAATTTTCTTTCTTTGCATAGTATTTATATAAGTAACACATAGTTGTTAATGGCATAAATAATATTAATTAATTAATAATAAATAAATTCATTAATGCTTATAACAAATGACTTGAAAATGTAAGACTTTAGTGAAAGAATGTGCTAAATGACTTGTAGTAAAGTTAAGAAAAACTCTTAAAATGTATGAAGATTTCAGAAAGTAAATCATTAAAAATTGCCTTAAATTCTTTCTATGTGCAGGTTGTTCCTCAAAATTAATGTTATATTGCTAAAATTTTGTAAACTAGCTTTGCAATGCTGTGAAATTTTTTTATTACTATTTAGAAAGGAAGTATAGATAATACAATATGTGTATACTTTGTTCCCCTCCCTATATAGTAAGGGTAAAATTTTGTATGTTCTATAATTGTAAGAAAAATTCAGAAAATTTTAATTTAGTTAAATATACAGGTTGTTCCATATTTTAAAAATCTTTTATTAAAATCAAATAAAGCGGCAAATTAATGTCTAAGTGAAAAAGAAACAAAAATGCTATCAGGGGTCTGACCAGGTCAGATTTACTACCGTTTAGCGGTACCTTCACAAATTCAACTTTAGGAAAAACCATAGTTTCACAAAATACTTTTTCTTAAAATTTTATTTTTTTATCCCGTAAGAAAGGATAAATCCATATTTTTGTGTTGATTTTTTTATATAATTTTTAACTTTCACAAATTATGTTTAAATTTTCACAAAATAGGTACCTCTCAGAAAAACTTAGGCAGACCCCTTTAAATCTGCCAAATCACTATTAAGGCAAGTGAGACTGAAATCATTATAAGGTCATAAATTGTTTGATTTCCAAATAAAACTGATGAGTGCATCTAATAACAGCTTCATGTTTTCAACAGCAATGAAACAGATTTTGATGTTGTTAGTCCCGTGTTCCTCAATTGAGATTCATTAGATTAAAATATCGTTCTAAGTTTTTTCTCACATAAATATTAATTTGCAACTCTTGATATGGCTACATTTGTTACTTCTTTTTTGAAAAGAATTCTTATAATGTAAACCAAGCTTAGCCATTTCAGAGCACCCTGTATTCTTAGATCTTTTATATTTCATTTTAAGCTAGGAAGTATAAGTTAATATTATGTACTTTCCACCCCTTAATGTTCTTTGGAGTGGATATTTGAGTTTTTCTTCATATTCTCCACATTCTTCCACTAAAGCCTTTAATTGTAAATTCAATGTGTCAATATTTGCTTGATTTTAAGTAACTTTGCCAATGAAGAATATTAATTGAACTTAACTGGATATTTCCGTGTGAAATTATCTCATCTCCAACATTTTGTGTATAATAAAAATTTACCATTTCAATTTTGTAACCATTTATCTACTAGAACTAATGTATGTTAACTGAGTTGTTGCTGTTTAGTAATTTACATAAATAAGAAATTTCTTTTTATGCTGTGCTATATAACTGTGATGTTAATCAAAAAGTCTGATTGTTGATTTTCAAAAGAAATTACACAAAATCAAAACAGTTTACAATATTTATTCATAAAACATGAAATAAAATTTTCATACAAAACTTCAAAATATATTTGTAACAATATTTATGTCATTTTTTAGATTTTTTTTCATAAGGCACGAAAATTTCTAAACGTATTATAGCTAAAAAAAAAATTTCATCCAAAAATAGCTAACCTACAAAGCGAATTTAAAACAGTTTTCAATCTACAGGAAGCAATAAATTTATCTCTTTTACATAAATAAGACGTGTTTTAATACAAAAATTACAATAAATAAGTGGGTAAATTTTATATTTATATGAATATCTTGTCAGAATTCAAAAATTAAGTAAAGTCAATTGATATTTTCTGACTCACTATATACATGTGCTTGGAAATATGAAAAAGTACAAAGCTGATTTTCTATCAATTTTTTGATCCCTAGCCAGTTTTATTTTCAAGTTCATCTTCTTCTGGTTTTCTTTTGACTACTGTTGCATATGGCGATTCTTCTTCATCCGAATTTTCCTGCAGTGAAAAGAAAAAAATTTATGAATCTCAAAAATATAATTTTTTGTTTGTAGTTATAAAATAAAGAGAAACAATTTAACAGATGTCCCAAGAACACCTTTTTTTTAATTATTTATTTTCCCTATAAGAAATTGGTTATAAATCACATATACTGATAGTGTCCGTTCCCATGAGTCTTTTGTTCATTGACTATTCCTATATAATATTTTAATTAGAAAATAAAATTGGGGTAAAGCTGATTTTGTGTGTTCCTCCATTTTAAATTTCATTAATTCGTGTAATCCATATTACTTTCCATAAAATTTTTTTTACCACTCATGCTTTGCTCATTTATAACTTTTTTTTAAAATTTATTTGATATTCTTTTGTAAACTGAGTTTTAGGAATTCATTCTTAAACACCAGATAAGATTTTAAGTAGTAAGAGATAAATATATCTCTCTTTAAAGATAAATATAGTTTGCATTGAAAAATATTCAGACAAACTCAGCTGTGATAATTGTTTTCAAAATGTTGATTTTACTTGTGATATTGTGTATAAATTATCTTGCTTAAATAAGGTCGTTTCTGATGTAACTCTTATTCTCCTTTTGTTGTTATTAATGCTAAAGTAAAAGCATTATCAAAATATAAATTTTAAAGGAAAACAAATTAAAAAGGGAAAATTATATTTTAGAATATTTTTTTTTTACACTTAATTTTAAAAGAATTTGAAAATGTCTAGATTTGATTTTCTGTTTGCTTTTAGTGACTTAATTATAGTGAAACACAGTTTATGTGTTTACTATAACTTAAAGTTAAACTATAAAGTTCTGTTTTTAGAAAGTAACATATTTATATCCACAATCGTGTTGTCTTTCAATTTCTGTACTGATATATGTTAAACTGTTCTTTAAGAAATGTAAGGCTTGAAAAGTAGTTGTAGTGACAAGTTTTATTCATAAATTACTTGGATTGTGATATAAAAATATTTATTGACAAAAATTATAGAAAATAAATATATTTTTCAAGTGTAGAAATTTATTTCATAATTTGAGTAGTTTTTACTTCTAAATAAATTATCAATTTTGATTCACCATCGATCTTTTTAAATATTGTTTTGAAAAAAAATTATTGATTAATACTTAAAGTGTAAGTAAATGGTTCTTTTCCTTTTACCATATGAGAAGTATTTATATTCACTCAGAATATATTTTTTTGTACTTATTGTTTTGGGGACCAATGAATGTTACAAAGGGAAGATAAGAACATTTCAAATGTGTTTAATATTATCTAAATTTATATCTAGCTCGTGTGATAACATTTCATTAAAGTCTTAATCCTTAATAGCATTAAATTTTTTTAAAATTTTGTTGGTTGTAAAAGTATATTTTTATTATGTATCCGGATATTTTTTTTTCTCAATCGCTTATTTCCATTCGGTAAATTTAACAAATTAGACCATTACCTATTTTAATTCGATTAATAAAACAGTTAATAGATGTTTTTATATCTAACACAGTATTAAGTGCTTTTTTCAATTTGATTTTACATCACTCATTGCACAATACTGTCTTATTTAATTTGTACATTTTAAAGAATGTTTGAAATGTTCTTACTTTTACATAATGATGCATTATTTTAAATTCATTATTAGTAATAAGCAGATTTATTTATTATAGAATTTTATATTAATTATAGATTTGTTTATTTATCAGACATGTTGCTTTTAATGTGGATATAACATTTTCGTTATAGATTTTGTTTAAACTTCGAAGATAAGCAGTTTCCGAAAAGTCTTAGTACTTTAACAAAGTTATCTGTTTGCTAATATTTTTTTTTTACGAACAAATTTCCTAATGATTTACAGTGGGTCTCACCCATAAGCCTGTTACTCAACAATGATTTTTCTATCATTATTATTGCAGTTGTAATACTAACATTTATTATTCAAAGTACTCAAATCGGTATAGAGTAGAAATATGTTAAGAAAGATATATTTTTCTTTAGAAAATAGTTATTTTGCTTCTAAGAAAGATAATCCTTTTTTTTTACCTTGATTATAGTAATTGAAACTCTGATGTTTATCTAGACAACTGTATTTAGCTAGTAAATAGTTTACATATAAGCCAGATAGCTATTTTAAAGATTTGTACGTAAGTATGTTTTAGGTATTCTTGAGTTTGTAATCATATTTTCAATACCTATATTTTTGTGATATTTTTATCCTAATCTTCAACATAAACATGAAAATCATAAACAATTTTGTCATACCTAACATCATAAACTAGCATTAGCATGTATGATTTTAAACTTTTCTAACAAATTTTTAACTTACATTTTGCTAATAATTATTAAAATTTCGATATTCTAATAAATTAGTTTCTAATTAAGATATCATAATGCATCTTTTTTGCATAAATATTAATGAAAATCATGACTAGATGAAAAAGGGGATGACTTAACGGTTAAATGCTCTAAGCCAGTGGTCGGCAAAGTGCGGCTCCAGAGCCGCATGTGGTTCTTTGGCTCCTTAAGTGCGGCTCTGGCACAAATATCCACGGAAGGCGCAATAATATTTTCATGTAAGAAAAAAATTGCATCTTATTTTGATAAATTAAAATTCTTCTATAAATCGAGAACATGCATAATTTTTTGTTTAAATTAATAGATTGATAGGTAATTAAAATTTCATATTGTTGTGAAAATACGTAACGAACATCGAGTTTAATTTTATTAGTTTTTGTAAACGTAAACGCAAACCATGTACAAGTTACCGGCTGAAATTGTTCGTATGTTTTCGGCGTACTCCGGTGTGATACAAAGGTACCACAAGCATGTGCGCATACTTTTTTTTAAATAGTGGGGGTACAAATTGGCATCACAGACCTGCAGTGTGATGTTTTATCCACCGTGTCTGCCGTTGTACTGTCTTATTAAAAAGTTGTATTTTTCAATCTAGCTGCACATTTTACAGGTATTTTTATACGATTTTATTACACATGCTATGTATGTTTGTGGTTCCGGTACAAAATTTTTCATCGATTTTTCGCTAACTTCTATTTGTCCAAATGTTGGAAGTTTTCTGCCGATGCTTTGCATTGCAAGCAAATTTGGCTCCCATTTTTTTATTACATTGTTGTAATGTTCATATTTGGCTCTTTGGCTAATAAGTTTGCTGACCACTGCTCTAAGCTGTTGTTGTGGTGGCTTGAATCCCACTTAACTTCAGATCAGTGGGTACCAGTTTGTCTGGGTAGTAAAGATGGCCTGTGGGTAATGCTGACCACATTACTACACTCATCCTGTTGGTCTCAAAATTGTAGAGCTCTAATTTCCTGGCTCACAACAGGCTTTTACTAGAATACTTTACCCTTTTTTTTATTGAAATTAGAAGGTTCTATTAAATAGTTTTTAAATAATTTGTTTATTTTGTTAAATACTGTTAGGTAACATATTTTTATAAATATTATGAAAAATCAGTAATAGATGAAAATAATCAAATGTTTTTATTGCATGCAGAAATATCTAAAACATTCTGATCTGATTTTTTGAAATAAGGGAAAGTTATAAGAAATGTAATTCTCGTTATGTTTATGCAAGAAACTAATATAACTTTGTTTGCCAACTTATAAAGTGACGCCCCATTCCTTTATTGGAAAATTGAATATTTCAGATGAATAAATGACATTTCTTAAATGAAAATACATAATTTATTATAGCAATACATCGCTATTATAAATTACACATTATTTTATTAATTTCCATCCAGCTTAACATACATAAGCATAGTGTTCTTTTACGTATTGCTAAAAAAATCTATGATGCCTACAAAAAAATTATATATAATCAAAAATTATCCGAAACATTTATCGTTTAATTTTATGACACATCCTGTATTTTGGTTAAAAATTTAATATATAATATGAATAATGTTTTACAAACAGTTATGATACACGAGACAAAGTATTTAAAAGACACATACCATTTTCAAAACAGAAGAACATCACAAACATAACAGCACACTATTACACATATTCTGGAATTTCTGCTTTTGTTAAATGGCTAGTTTTCTTTGGTAAAGAAAAAAAGAAATCATCTGCAAAGGGATCGTTCTTCTTTGCAAATATGTTTTTCTCACTAGGCATTTGTAGTTTCAAATCCCGGTTGGATTCAATGTTCAAAGACTGCGCTCGCAACCGATGTCCGTTTGAAAGTAGCACGCTAGTGATTGACTGCATATTTTCTTTGCTAATCATCTCATAGTCCGACGAAGAATCGCTTGACAAAGAATGAGACGAAACTGTGCGACCACCGTTTTGAACAGTCCCACCTTTGTTCAGAGAGGGCCGAGGTCTGGGGCGAGAAACACCGTTGTGGTTATTTGTTGAATTGGAAAGACCGTTAATGTTATTATGTTTTGTAACGCTGAAACCATTTATCAACACGGAATTACCATTCTCACCATTCATAAAATGAGTCTGCTGTAATCCGTTGCGGTATCCAGTTGGGCTGCTGCTTTCAAAATTGTTATAATTTTGATTAAAATAATCTGCATTGTTTGGAGAATCTGAAACGTACGGTTGTGGGCTTTTGGAGTAAGGACTGCCCATACTGCCGTTGGAAAAAGCTAAGTCTTTTTCCACGTTGTTCATTCTTGGTGGAATAGGAATAGGAGAACTGGATGATGTTGAATTCATTTGTGAATAATTTAAATTAGTACAATTTACATTCAGTTGCTGGTTTGATAGTGGTCTTTCTAAATGAGCATTGAAGAGGGCTGGGTTAACCGGCTCAGACTCACTTCTGACTTTTGGGTTGTGTGTGATAATATCACCATTGCTGTTAACTAGGGAAAGTTTCAGGTTTGAAGGTAAGGCATTGGGTAAGGAGGAAGAGGGAAGAACAGGTGGAGGTGTGTTTTCAAAATCGACAGGGAAAGGAACTGGGGAGGATATCAACAAGTTCACATCTAGAAGTTTGCTGGCTTCTCTATTTGGGTCAACGAGGTCATTGAGAACCTTTTTGGGTGGATTTTTCACGTCCTGGAAAAATTCTGTCTTGTCTTTGTAAGGCCTGTCTTTACCCAATGGATCTAGTTCTGCGAATATTGAAAGGTCGGTTGAGTCTGTCTTGCTGAGTCGAGGAGGTTTAGGTGGAGCTGACTTTTTGGCTATTTCCTCTTCTAATTTTTGCATCTCTGCCGCTGCTTCACTTTCTTGACTTGTTCCTTCGAAGATGCTTGGACCTGAATCAATGACATTGAAAACTGCATATTTATCCCCATTGGCAGAAAAATCACTAGGCTGAGTGTCACCAACTTGTATTGGAGCAGCAATAGGTGTTGGCATTGGTACCGCAAACGAATCCTGTGTTAAATACATACAAATCAATTATTAATTGGAGTGAAGGTATTATAATTAAGTCTAAATTTAAATGTCTTGATACATAAATGTACTAGTTGCTTAACAATTTAATTATCAATTTTATACAAATTTAAACTTTGCTTAATTTATACATTGCTTTTCTCAGAGTTATTGTTTTGTATGAGAAATATTTAGTTAGTTAAAACTTATTAACTTTAAATGGTTCACAAGTGCTTTACTAACCAAAATATTTAAAGTCTGCCTGTGACAAGAAGAATTTTGAAAAGTAACATTCACAGTTTCTGCAGCCTGTTGCTTTCTTGTGGTCAACATAATCGCTAAACTGGTTGTTAACGTATAGGAATGGTTGAGTCTGACGCTAACCACTAAATTTTAACCCTTATATCAAAAAGAATATTATTTTAGCGCTTGAACGAATTTTGTCTGGTCACTTAAACTTGTGCAAAAGCAATTTGTCCAGAGATATCCCTGCCCATAAATTGACTGAAATCGTTAAGAATGGATGTGTTCCGGTCACTTATAGTTGAATCCATTGAGATAGGTACATGTTAAAATTTTAAATGGGTTCCCAATTTTTATTCTTCTATGTACACAAAATTTATTAACAACAGTTTTCGTGAAAAACTGGTACGAAACTTACCCTTTTAGGGCCTAGCACAAACGATGTATCAAATGGATCATTTTCTAAGATAGGTACTTCAGAATTGAATGCTGTTGCAGCTGCAATGCTAGTGTCCATTTGCTCTATGCCCTGAAATTAAAACTCATGTAAGTTCAAGGGAACTTATTATAGTACTTATATTACAATATTTTATTCAAGTTATTTCACTATTAAGAAAAACTCATATTAGTATCATAGTTATCAAAATTTCATGAGCTTAAATAATTTTAACCGGGTCGATGATTATACTCCCCATAGTTTCTATGTCTATTTTATAATCGTCGTTGAACAGCCGACCCAATTTTGGGTTTACTACTACTATTGTTCAACTCCGTTGCATTGTAATTTTGAATCCTATCCAGAAGACAAGGGAACTCCTGGATTAAGGATGCCCCACTCTAATTTCATATTTCAGCAATATTTATAACAGTCTTGTGAATTGAAAAGAAAGCAAACATTCTAATTTCAGAAAGGTTTTTTTTCTTCCTTTCTCAAATTAAAATACATCAGCTAAAAAAAGTTTTCTGATTTAGTTTAAAATTAATATATTAAAAAAATTTATTATGCTTTAAGACTTATTTTAAATATAGGGTGAAGGGTTATCTTTTTCTTTTTTATTCTGCGCTCCAGTTATTTTGTATCGGGTATGTTTACCGGAATATAAAGAAAAACTTGAAGAAAAAAAATTTAATTATATTTGTAATGTGTCCTTCGCCCCAGAAAAAAAGTATTTCCTTTTAAAACTCTTTGCGTGCATGTTTAACCGAGTTAAAACAGCAGCAAGCTTCCTGAAACCGTGAAGGACGTTTGAAAGCTCCCGTTGTATCCCAATGGTATGCTTGCCAAGGGTGAAGAGACTGGATATTCTAAAAAGTTTTATTATTAAGATTAGGATTTAAGTTTTTGCCCAATATGGCTACTCAAAATGTTTTCAGAGTTAAAAATATTTAAATCAAGTTACTAATTTTAAATTGCGAACTAAACACATTAGAAATAAAACAAATCAGTTGCCATCTTTTAACTGTTGCCTCTTATTTTGGCTATTTATTTATTTCATACTTTTATGAGATTTTAGAATGCTAAAGAAAAATTTAGAAAAAATAGTCCGTATAGAAAAAATTATAATTCTTGAAAATTTTATTGATCTCGTAAACTCAAGGCTCTGGCATGAAAATGAATCGTTAATAGTAACTCAGAAGCCTTTTTTTACATCAGTGCCACATGCAATGTGATTAAAAATTAGCATTATGATTCGGTTATGACCATCCGTATTTTGCATTTATATTTAGTTATCTAAAAAATTTTAAATTGAAGTAATTATTACCTTCTGAAGCTGGTTTAATTCATCCTGTAAACCTAAAAGATCATCAATTGTTTCATAATTTTCTTCTGTTTTAGGTGACTCATCAATCATTTCAGCTGGCTCTGTCATCAAAACTTCCTTTAAAATAATAAAACAAATAACTTTCTTTTTATATGTTTCATGTTTTGATGATACAATTAAAAAAAATTATTATTATTTTCTTTTTAATGTTAGATAATCAGACACCAAAATCAGAAATACAATGTATTTTTATGTATACAATTTTGTTATTCACCAAAATGATTAGATTAAAAATAAAATCTATAAAACAAGCATTGATTTTCTATAAATTTAAGTCATACGAACTAAATATAGTTTAAGGAAGTCATACTTACAAAAACAACATTTTCAGTATTTGCCTTTTCTTCAGTTGAAGAAATTTCTTCTGTTTTACTCTATTATAAAAAATTTAAAAATTTTAATTTTCAACAAAAGTTATNAAAAAACGGCTTTTTGTAGCGATTCAGAAAACCGGAAAAATCAGTTATCCGGATTAGCGAAGGTCCCGATCGTTCCGGATAATCGGTTCCCTACTGTATTTTAAAATTGAGGTGGAATTAAATTTACTCGTGTTTGTAAATATTCAGATAGTCCTGAATTTGTACAACCATAACGATCTTTAGACAAAGTATACGTTATCCTATAATAAACGATTACCTTATATTGTATCATCATTAATTATTTTTACGTTATCAAATTATAATTGTAACGGCCTTTTATGTAGAAATCTAGTCTTCTTTGATAGGAAGTATTTTATTATGTCACCTATGTTTGACAGTGTCGATTCATATTGGAGTTATATCAGAGTTCAACTTAGCAGCTTTGTAATTTTGAACCAAACAGAGAAAATAATTGAGCTGTTGGGCCTTGGAATCTCAAAGGATAGAGCGTTCGCATTCCGATACGGTGACTCTGGTTTAAATCCAAACTATGGCTGGTCGATTCGAAATGTGCCGACGTAAAATTCCTCAGTGGTAGACGGATGAGTTAGAATCTCCTTGCCGTTGGTCTAACCGTAAGAGGTTTTCGTTTTTCTTCCCATGTAACTCAAATGCGGGTTTGTTGCATCAAAAAGTCCACCTGGAAGGCTAGTTTGTCCCAATGGTTGATCCAGGAGTTCCCTTGCCTTCTGGGTTTGGTTAGAAATAACAAGGCTAAGGAGATGAATATAAAATAGTCATAAACCCAAAAAATGGATCGACTCTTCAACGCCGTTTATCAAATAAAATAAAGCTCCTGGACCAAACATCTCAGGCCCAACTTTCATTTGCGTTACATGGTGGAGTGAACCTGAATGGTTAATCTAACGGCATGATTCCTGAGGATATTTTTTAGCGCTGGAGACATATCTTGACGATCCCTTTTGGCAAAATAGATTTATTTCATTACGATGACAATGAGACGGTGTCAACTTACTGGCTTTTCCGTTTTGATTGCTATGAATTGGTGTGGTTCACTAGTAGATCCAAAAACGTAACCAAAAGTTCTTGCATCTGTAATATCCTGAGATATGAAGGATATAAGTGACACGGGATGATGGTACATCACAGCCTAGTAAAGAAATAAATAAACTTTAATAGGAAAATATTTTTATTTATTATTACTGTTTGAATTACCTTCTATTTTTTATGATGAAGGTGATTTAAAAATTAAGCATTAAAAGCATTTTAAAATGCTAAAACGGAATACAAAATAAAATTTGCATGAAACTTGTTTTTATGTATTTATTTTGTTATTTAATTAAAAGTTAAAGAGTTTGTTATTAAGAAAAAGGATCTAACATATTAGTGTTGATTAATTCACGGCCTCTGTGTTAATAAGTTTGTTTTGCTAGCTCTTTTGTTTATTAGTCATTAGCAGCTACAAACATAATATTTTTTGTCCAGCTTATGATGCGTTTACTAAATCTTATCAAACAATTAAGTCCAATAATAACATTATTCATTTACGTTTTGGCAATCTTTTACTCTCGGTTTAAGACCCGGTTTTTTCTGAGAAGATAACTACATCCAAGGCTGAACACAGGTTTTATGGGCCCCTTCCACAAAAAGCCTTACTTTCCATCCCCTTGTGTACCCGGCGAATCATTTATAATTATATTTTCAATTGATTTGAAATATGATAACATTTGAATCATTTATATGAAAAGTAGTACTTCTATGATTTATCTAAAAAGATATATTTTATACAACTAAACAATGAATATCTTGATTGAATCTGACTATGAACAGTTTAGCTCAAACAGGCCTTAAAGTCTTAGCTCTGAAACTGATTTGCGGGCTTAAATTTACTATTTATAGGACTTCATTTATTTACAGTGATTCAAATATATATATATATATATATATATACACACACACACATATTTATATATACACACACACACATATATACACACACACACACATATATACACACACACACACATATATACACACACACACACATATATACACACACACACACATATATACACACNTAATTAACTAGCATTGTTTTTAACAAATGAAGCTGAAATGGCGTCTTGGGGACAATTGTAACAATAAGTAAAGGGACGATTGTAACAACTGAAAATAAATAATCTTATGTTTACAAACCATTACTTAACTCTTTAAAAACTACCAATAGTTTTCTGTATCATTTATATTATGTTACATGTGCATTATTTTATTTGTCACTTTTCACAGCATAAATTAAAATTTTTAACCCCTTAAAGTTAAAAGTTCAACCCTTTAGGTCTCTGCTGATTATTATTTTTACTCCTAAAATATCACTACTATTTTGATGAATAAAAAAATATATCACAACTATGATAATCTGCATAATTAACTATGTTTTAGTTGAATTTATGAACTGTTACAATTGACCCCGTAAGTGGGGACAATTGTAACAAGTGCACGACTGTCAAAAATTGTTAATAACTAATATAATAACATTTAAAATAAGGTATTTATTTTTTTTTTCTAGTAGAGGATAGTCTACTTTGTTCATCTGTCAATTAATAGTAATAATATATTGGATTTTTTGTTAGTTAAAAATAGTTAAGTAAAAAATGTTACAATTGACCCCACTCTCCCCTACTGTTTGAATTGTGAAGTTGTAAAAATTACTTTCTATTATTTTTTTATGAAGGTGATTTAAAAATTGAGCATTTTAAAATGTTAAAACGGAATACAAAATAACATTTATATGAAACACTTTTTTTCATGCATTTATTTTGTTATTTAATTAAAAGTTAAAAAGTTTACTATTAAGAAAAAGGATCTAACATATTAGTGTTGATTAATTCACGGCCTCTGTGTTAATAAGTTTGTTTTGCTAGCTCTTTTGTTATTTATTAGTCATTTACAGCTACTACAAACGCAATATTTTTTGTCCAGCTTATGATGCGTTTACTAAATATTCATATCTTAACAAACAATTTAGTCCACTAATAACATTATTCATTTACGTTTTGATAATCTCTTGCTCTCGGTTTAAGACCCGTTTTTTCTTGAGCAGATACCTACATCCAAGGCTGAACACAGGTTTTACGAGCCATTTCCACAAAAAGCCTTACTTTTCATATTTTGACATCCCTTTATACAAAATTGTGTTATATAGATGTAGAGAAATTATCTGCAGTTTTATTTTTAAAAAGCTAATGAATACTTTATTTTTATGAGAAGTCTTCCTCGGGCCTTGACTACATCACATATAAATAACACGCATAATTTTTCTGTCAAGAAATGTTTGCTACTGAAATGATACTACTTCTAAATTTTTCATAAAGTTACCCGATCTTAACCCACTAATGGCGTAAGAGTGGTTTGAATCATTTATAAGAAAAGCAGTACTTTTATAATTTATCCAAAAAGATATATTTTATACAACTAAACAATGAATATCTTGATTGAATCTGACAATGAACAGTTTAACTCCAAAAGACCTTGTCTCACCCCACTTTTCCCTATTTTTTTTTTTTTATCTGAAAAGAATAAATTTTTTGGCTTCTATTGAACAGTATTTGACAACTGTTAAACTCTTTACCTTAAAATTTAAATGTTTTCTCTTAAATTTATTTAGAATTGAATAGTCAAAGTACATACTCAAAGCTGAACAAATTGCTGAAGATTTCGATCAGACTATCTTATGAAATCTACTAAATGGGGAAGTCATGTGTAAGGTTTGTGACCAATATAATGACGAGCACACTTATTCTGAAAATGACATACACATAGAAACAATACTAAGGAAACGTTTGATGTTAATATCTCATACAAACTTCCATATTTTCTACTAGATAACGATACATTGCGCCGAAATATTTCTTACCGTGTTCGTTTACTCCAAAAACATTCTCAAATTGTCTCCTGAATTATTTTAAAATGTGGTTTTTAATTTTATTGCCTGAAGCCCTTCATGTTGTATAACAGTAAGTCCAAAATTTTTTAAAACTCGGCTAAAAATTTATTAAGTTTGGTACCGTATGAAATATATTACATGAAAAAAAGGTTTGAATTACATTACAGTCTATAAGTGTCTGTCAGATTAAAACTATTCAGAATGTTTCGCGATTACCGCCTTTAATTTATTTATTTTAGATTTACTGTACTTGTAAACGTTATTTAAAACATTAAATATTGCATTCATGTGAGAGGTCATAAATTAGTATTAAAGTAATAAAAAGTAATTAAGATTGATCCTAACAAAAAAAAGCGATCAAAAACTAGTTTATTATTGGAGGGCGAAGCTAAAGGCAGTATTTATGGCTCTGAAACTGATTTTACGGGCCTAACTTGTGTACATATATATATTACAAAGAAAATTGAAGAAAAAAAATTATTATATAAGGCGAGCTTAAATGATAAATTGATTTGCAAGTATACGATTAACAAAGACGTTTGATTCATGGATGTCTACTAGTGTCCTGGACTACGCACTACAAATATTCAGTGAGTGCAACACCCGCCAATCATCCCAATGACGAAACAGCTTTCTTCTATACTATACCATATTACTATTAATGTCCACCACAGCAAGAGTGATGCTACTAACAAGGGAGACTATTAGGGAAGTGTGACTCGCCAATTTTGAAATAAACTAGTGGGATGTATGCCTTATGAGGAATAATTTTAGGGGGCAACATTCGTTTCGGCCCATAGAAGGTCCTGTGAGAGATAAAAAATAATTCGATATATAGAAAAATCGGTATTTTATTACTTCAATGCAGACTATTAGTTATTGTAATTGTCTCAAACTCCAATTAATTGGATAATTAATTAAGTTGCTAATTAATAAATTATTTAGCAAATTAATTATTAATTAATTGCATACTCCAATTAACTTGGAAAATTTTTTGAAAAAAAAATTTTTTACGTACATTTTTTTTAAAAATTAACCTAACACTTTTTTTCTGAAAAACTAAAGATATATAAAATTTTCGAAATCAATTTTGACAATAAATATGCATTATATAGTACGTGAAAGTGCCACAAAATTAATTGGAGTATGAGATAATTGCTATAACTAATAGTCTGCATTGAAGTAATAAAATACCGATTTTTCTATATATTGATATACTTTTTCATCTCTCACAGGACCTTCGATAGGCCGAAACGAATGTTTCCCCCTAAAATTATTCCTCATAAGGCATACATCCCACTAGTTTATTTCAAAATTGGCGAGTCACACTTCTCTAGTTTCCCTTGTAAGTGTAAGTTTGTTTACCCCAAATACTTTCGAGTGCCGCTATAACTATTGCTGTGCTAGACATTCCTAGAAATATGATATTCAAAGAAAGCTAGGATGTGTGCCAGATGATCAAGGTTGCACTCATTGAACCCCTGACCCCGTTTTTGGAAATCTATGCGCTAGCAATGTAGCGTCGTTTTAACCACAGTCAGACGACATGGATAGTACCTGAGCAGGGGTACCCAAGTTTCAATAATGCAAGTATAATTATTTTTGAAGCTAAATCTGATAGAAGTGTGCAACAAAAATCACGTTCCAAAAGCGAAAAACTTCAAACCACTCTGTATGGATAATATAATAATAATAATTACAATAATGTGTTAGTGAATTATTTTATATTTTTCATACTTTTGTTGCACAAGAAGCACTTGTGGTTAATACATATGAGTGATTTAATCTTTTGAGTGTCGACCAGCTTCTTCCGAAATCCGATCACTGCTTTACGTGAGCTCATACACATTGAACAGTTATAGCATGTACCTGAAGCTTGGTGAGGACATAGATCCAAGTCTTTGTGCATCGTATACTTGTAACAGAATGCAACATTTAAGCTTAATCTGTGTTATTCAAAGCCTACTTACCCCTGTTTTCTCATCTTTTATTTTTATACCTTGTAAAGAAACTGCTACACTTATTTTTCTTTTATGAGGTCCCAAGTTTTTAACGTTTAGCTGTAATTAAGAGAAAGACATGGTTATAAAATAGAACAGTTGAAAGAGCTTCATGAAGAAATATGAATGCGAATAAAAAGTTTAAAAATCGAAGGCTACTCATAATCGTTTTTCAGACAGTTATTGACTGTCGGAACTAAGAATATATAAAGCCATTTTTTTCTTATAAATAATTTTCTAATTTTTAAGATTAAGAAAGAGTTTTACTCTAACTATAACACGTTTCGTGGAAAGGATTGAATAGTTATTATTAAAATGTGCGCATAGTATATTTTTATTATTAGTATACAACGAAGCATCTACAATACTCATTTATATCATTTTGTCCTTAAAATTTTTAAGCAGCAATATAAGAGGTGTTTTTTAATTATTAAAAAAATTTAGAAACTGCTGAACGCTAAATCATTGCCAGACTGACTATACCACATGCGCCAACTCTACTGAAAATAAAAAAACTCGTACCAATACTGTACGCTATTCGTTTGTAAAGAATAAAATACTTATATTTCAGGTTCGGCTCACGAACCAGCGACATTTTTTGCCGCGATACAGGGTTTAAATCTCTGGATCATAACCTTGTTTTAATTGTTTTTGCATATGAAAATTTGGAAACATACCATTGAGCACTTGCCAAACAAAAGCACCCACGCATTTTCTCCTAAAAGGTTAATTTTTAAAACGAGTTACGCAAAACAAATTAAACTTAAAGTTGTACCGCACTGTCAACACTAATGTTTGGATAACACCCATTCTTCTTCTTTCTTTCTTTATTTTTTTTATATATCTTTTTAAAAAAAAGTGTCCTTATTTCAAAATAAATTTCATAAGTTTGAATAAAAATGCACATTTTAAGTTGTAAATGTTGAATTAATCTCATGTAAAATTTGCTCTAATCTTTATTTGCTATCGAAAATAATTATTTAAAAATGATTAGGTTTCTAGCATTAATATACCTAACAAAAGTGTTCATTTTTAATATTTTAAAAATTTATTGTTTCCATAACCATAGTGAAAATAGATATTAAATATGGATAATAGGTATTGTACGAAAGCTATTGAATATGGACATTTATATTGAAGACCTGGGTTTTGTACTAAAAAGCTAGATGACTCAATGTTTTCGGAGTTTTATTAATAGGTCATAAATTTGAAATGAATTAACTAAATAAATAATTGTATGAAGCGGTAGGTGTCACAAATAGAAAGAAAAAAAATTTTTTTTTCTGAGATCATTTTTTCAAAACTGGTTTTTTAGCTATCTAATTTTAGTGCTATATCACCTAATTCCCCTCATATTGAGTATTTATTTTTCAATAGACTTTTTCTGTTTCATTTTGTTTCTACAGATTTTCATTGACTCCTCTTAATATTCATGTAGCCCTCTTGGGTCGATAATATATAATTATACTCTTTGTAAATAAAATATTCGTCTCTGTGATACGTGGTTTTTCTACTCTTCCCCTCTTCGTTAGGTTTCACGAAATCTTGCCGTTTACCTCAATTCAGTCTATTCCCACTTCTTACTAAAACGTACACCCAAAGGGAAAAGTAATTTGCCGAAACTATTGGTAAAAGTGCGCCGAGAAATATGTCTTTGAGACTCTATTTACAAAGATTTTTTGTGTCGACACAACCTTACAGATCCATGAATACATACTCTATTCATTCCTAAACAAAACAGCAATTAACAAAACAAAACTAATTCCTGAACAAAAAACAAAACTAATTCCTAAACAAAACAGCCCATGATCAAAAATCCGCAAGCATTTGTTTCGTTTTATTTAAGTCGGATTTATAAATAAGCGGTGTAGACTTTTGGCTTACAAACCAGATCCAATCATCTACATAAGCCCCAGTTAAAATAACCCTGCAGCATTTATTCAGGCTTCAATAAAATACAGTTCGCAAAATAAAAAAAAGACATCACCTTAAATAACTTATGTTCTAATAAACGGATTTTCACGAACTATGTGTCAGTCTTAATGGTCCGACAGAGTGGTCTTAAATATACTAATAAAACAATATTAACTTTCAAGCTAGAAAATTAGACATGAAACGTACTTTCTCTGAATAAACAAACCTTAAGATTTTTTACCGACAAAACATGCATGGTAAACGCAATCTTAAATATTTTGAACCCTATTTAAAAGATTGCGACTACCATCCATATTTCCCCATTTGTTTGAGAGAGAAAAAAATAAATCCTGGCATGATATTTACTTTAAGTCTCTTAGTGGCTTCTTGACACATTTTGTCGCCTCTTGCATCGCTTACAGATTCCACACCGATGAGTTTTGCTTTGAATATTACTCCTTCGCCTTCGTACTTCTTTTTGTCTGGTTTGTTTTTATCTGTTTTCTCTACGAAAATCAAAAGGATTATTTATTAGGCAATATCAGATAGAACAACTGAAGAAACTTAGTTAATGTGAGAAAATACCAAAAAAGATCAACTATAACTCAAAATTTCACTGAATACTATGCAGCTTTCGCGAGAACCCTTCCCCACTGCTGCCATGGAAACAGGTGTAAAACCATTTCTGATGGGGAAGAACTGACTTCATGATTAGCGTGAAACAGTCAACTCACACCTTTATGTGAACTTTCGTAAAAGCTAAGCATCTGAAGGAATTCTCGTGAACATTACATTAATTTTCTCTACCAAGGTAAGGTTCCGCGAGGTGTTCAACGACTTCAAATCTAACTTCTCTTTTAAATAGCTATGCAGCAGGAAAAAGTTTAAAGGTCATTAATCAAAACGCTTTATGTACAAAAAAAAATCGTGTATCCTTTCTTAAGTGAAAAGCTGTGTGAGCCTACTGCCTTTCCTACATGTGTAAAATTTGTGTTTTTAACTATTATTTGGCACATAGAGTACCGGAAAAGAAATGCTAGCTGTAGTCCAAAATTTGGAAAGTTTTACAATGAGCAGCAATAAATGAGTTTAAAATATCTTCGAGTGTAAATCGTAATTTATTCTAATTCTCTTTATTTATAGTTTTAATTCTTTATTATGTTTTTGAAGTATTCTAGCCATTTCCAAAGTTTTTTAGTAATATATACAGATAAAACAGACTTTATAACAATGTGTATAATAAAGGCAGACATTATACCGCAGATAGATCTTTGTCTATATGAGCATTGCTTAACCTAAAGAAAAATTGATAATTTTGCGATGTATCTCTATATTTACCATACGTTAAGATAGTGCCACTGTGGCTCAGGGGTGAGATCACTCGAATTCAAATTCCCGATAAAACCAACTTATACAAAATATTAAACTTGCTTTTTCCTAACGTTAAAAATTAATATTTAAATGAGGGGACAAAATATAACTTTATCGAAATCTGACGAAGTTTAATTGTAGGAGGCAATATTAAAAATATCCGAAACTCTTTAATTACCTTAAGTAACTGAAAAGATGAGAGATGCAATTATATAAAACACTAATTATTTTTTCTTATCAAACTGGTTTTTACATTTTCAACCCTCCACACTCAATAAGATTAATTTCTCAGGTTTCGTCAACGTTTTTTCTTCCCCTCTCAAATTTTACTTATTATAATTTCTATATAGATATCAGGGGTCTGTTTAGAAGAAATTTGGATCCGTTAACGGACCCTTCACAAAATATCTTTTCATAAAAACGGACCCTTCACAAAATGATTTTTCTTTTAATCGGACCCTTCACAAATTTGTTTAACTTCATTATTATTTTATTAATCGAATAAACCCTTTCCAGGGCAGAAAACAAGAAAAATGGATGAAAACGAATTAAGTTTTGTCTTCGGCAGACGATTCTTCCATTATTCGTCCGAAATTAATATTCTGCGTTCAGCAGTATAGGCTAAATACCAAATATTTGTATGTTGCATCTCTAATTTAGAAGCAGCAATTGTTGTTTATTTTTTAAAATTTAA